CGTGTCTTCACTCCTACATTCACTGCTTCTAAGCCTGACAAGGGTTCTAGGGAAGCCAACTACTTAAACCAGATAAGAGAGGAGGCCCTGTCCGTTGGTCCCTCAAGCCATCACGTCACTGGAAAAGCAAAACTCCCCCTGGGTTTAACTAAAATGAAAAAAAGGAGATCAATTGGAATCCAGGCCCACAACAGCCTTCCTACCAAAGTACTTCAAGATTTTAGAAACTGGGGACGCTTGAGTGGCTCAACTGTTAGCACGAAGATTACCTCTCCAGCAAAAAAATAAGTAAATAATAATCTACTCCTTCAAGATAAGCTACGAAGCGCCAAACCACCTCTAAAACTCTTATTAGACAATAACCGTCTCCCCCGAAGGGGTGCACCGTCCCCGGAAATACTGCAATACCGGGTCGATGCGCGGGGTGGACGGAGCAAGCTCCTATTCCATCTCCCTGCTCCAAAAATCCATTTAATATATTGTCCTCGGATAGAGGACGTATCAGATATTAAACTGATAAGAACAGATACTACACTTGATCTTAGCCAAAAGGCCGAGAAGCGATGCCGACGCGCACGCCCCCGCGCACGCCCTCCCGACGACCTCCACCTTACACTCACGGTGACTCGGCGCCCGCTCCGGCCACGTCTCGCTCCCCCCGCTTCTCCCACCGTGGCACGGGCGGCACTAGCCGCTAGGCTCTCGTGCGGCTTTGTAAAGTCTCTTCCTTTTGAAAGACAAACGACGCGTCCGTCGTCGCGTCGTCGCCGGCCCCGCAAGGCCCTTCCTAATTTGAATGGCCCGCCCCTCCGCGCGCGGAGCCCTAGAGGCGCGGCGGGCGGCGGAACCTGGCTGCAGGCCAGGCGCCCTCGGCTTCACGCTTTGGCCGGCCTGGGGGGCGTGGAACCGGGCGTGGGGCTGGCGCCGGGGGCTGGCGCTGAGTCGTCCCAGGGCCCAGGAGTCCCCTCACGTCGTCACTGCGGGACCCTACGGGCTGGCTGCGGCCAGGGCGTGGGGAGGAGCCCAGAAGCGCCTGGCTGGCTGGCGTCACCTGCCAAGGGCTCCAGACACCACTTGGGACCCGAGACCGGGCCCTGAACGGGTGGCCTCCCTACCCCATCAGGAGGGCTCCTTGGGCATCTACCTAAACCCCTCCCTCCTCCCCCCCCCCCCCCCGCCCCCGGGCCTCCGTTTCCCCAGGGCAGAAGTGGCCACCTTCCTACGTTCCTTCCTTAGTGGGATTGAGGGAAGGCCGAGGTAGCTCGAGCGTGACCTGACCTTGGGGTCTGAGTGGTCCAGGATGTGGGTCCTAGGTGCCACGAGGTACCGGTGGAGACGTCGTGCCTGTGACACCGAAACGAGTGAGCCGCGTGCGCTATACCGTAGCCAACGCTTCTCGTCTGGGCCAGACTTGCGCTCAGTGCTCTCTTGGCGTCCAACTTGCAGAGTTTACCTACGGAAGAAGCGGTGGAGGCAGAGAGGTTAGGCAACTGGCCCGAGACCACACAGCTTGGCGAGTGAGTGCGAGGGGCAGGCTAGGCCGAGGAAGCCGGGGGCGCCGGCAACCGAGGAATGCTTCTTCCCAGTCAGGCCCACGACGAGACTGAGCATTGCCGATGCTGACACACGGGTCCTCTGGGGTCCTCTGCCCGCTGCCTCCGCCGACGGGACGCGGGCGGGGGGCGGGCGGGGGGGGGGGTGCCCCGGAGCGTGGAGCTGGCGAGCGTGGGCGCTAAGCCCTGCGGACCCGTGGGACCTAGCGAGTAACCTGGCCTCCTCCGTCAACCCTTCCATCTGAGATCTCTAAACCGGGAGATGATGAGATGACAAGTTATCAGACATGATTATTAGGAATAACGAGACAGGCTTCTTTCTTTTTTAAAGATTTTATTTATTTATGAGAGATTGAGGGAGAGAGAGAGAGGCAGAGACATAGGCAGGGGGAAAAGAGGGCTCCCTACTGGGAGCCTGATGGAGGACTCCATCCCAAGACTCCAGGATCACACCCTGAGCCAAAGACTGACGCTCAACCGCTGAGCCACCCAGGCATCCCAAGGGATTCGTTCTCTTAGAAGAGGCACCAGAGAGCTTGTTCCCTCTCTACCATATGGAGAAGGTGGCCATCTGTGAGCCAAGAGGGACCTCAGCAGAGCCCTATCATGCTGGCACCGTCAACTGGAACTTCTAGCGTCCTTAACTAAGAAATTTGTTATTTAAGCTCCCAGTCTATGGTATTTTGTTATGGCAGCCAGAGCAAACTAAGAAAGTAGGTCTGATATGGTGTCTGACATTCTGCATTTCTAACGGGTTCCCAGGTGTTACAGATGCTGTTGTTCACAGGCCATACTTTCAACAGCAAGGTTCTAGAACAGATTAATAGTAAGTTACCCCAAAGGCTGTGTATTTTCCCTATCGATGAGCACTTTATTTTTTTTTTTAAAGATCTTATTTGGGGGATCCCTGGGTGGCGCAGTGGTTTGGCGCCTGCCTTTGGCCCAGGGCTCGATCCTGGAGACCCGGGATCGAATCCCACGTCGGGCTTCCGATGCATGGAGCCTGCTTCTCCCTCTGCCTGTGTCTCTGCCTCTCTCTCTCTGTGACTATCATAAAAATTTAAAAAATTTAAAAAAAAAGATTTTATTTATTCATGAGACAGAGAGAGAGGCAGAGACACAAGCAGAGGGAGAAGCAGGCTCCATGCAGGGAGCCTGATTTGGAACTTGATCCCGGGACTCCAGGATCATGTCCTGGGCCAAAGGCAGGTGCTAAACCACTGAGCCACCCAGGGATCCCCTCGATGAGCACTTTAAATGTTCTCCTGCTAATCTACAACAGACATCTATTATAATCCCAAGCTTCTAGTAGGTCTAGACATTTTTAATCCCAAAACTTTAATGAGTGTATCCTCAGCAATCATTGTTAGATAAAGGAATGAATGAGTTAAGAGTGTTGTCTGACAGCTGGCCACCTTGCCTACTGGTAAGGCCTTTGGACTTGGACTTGGAAGACATTTGGAAATATCCAGGGTGAGTGAGGGAGCTTCTGTGAGCTGGGTTCAAGCAACCCCCTTTCAGCAAAACCAATTTAGTGAGTATAAGATGGTCTGATATACACATCTAAACAGAGCTTGGGATTAGAAGGCCCGAAGAGTCATCTCAGGTGCAAGCTAAGCACATTATATATTGTTTTGGGTGACTCTCATTCATTCATTCAACAAATATTTATCAATTGTGGAATATGTGCTGAACACTGAGGTGCTGGGAAATAGAACAGCAACAAAACCTCTACCAAGGTGAGAAGCAAATAAACCAAAAGTATGTGTATATTTGTGAATATATCTTTTTTTTATTCATGAGAGACACACACACAGAGAGAGAGAGAGAGAGAGAGGCAAAGACATAGACAAAAGCAGAGGGAGAAGCAGGCTACCCTCAGGGAGCCCAATGTGGGACTCAATCCCTGAACTCCAGGATCACACCCTGAGCCTAAAGCAGAGCCCAACCACTGAACCATCCAGGCATCTCATTTGTGAATATATCTAAATAAATTCTTAAAATATTTTAATATTGATTACTGGAGAGTTTTGGGGAGGACATTCTCTTAAATCTGGCCCCTCCCCTTTGGCCTCACTATAGTCCTGGCCCTGTGTAATTATAATAACATCTACCTTGTAAAGCTATTGAGTGAATTAAGTGAGGCAGTACAATAGAGCACTGAGACCAGGGGAAAGGCCCAGGCAACGCCTAGAACATGCTTTTCATCTTGCAGGGTGAAGGTACTGACTGGATTTCAGTCTTACGTCCATGATACCTTCTAGTTTTTCTGATATCAAATGAAAGAAATATTAACCCCTCAAGTAAACTGAAGTTTTCTCTGAAGGAGAATATGAAAGGTAAATGCTGACTGAGAATCAGCAATCTTTGCCACAGGGAAACGTCAGGGGAGAGGATTTAGGAATTGATTGGCCTTAATACCCAGAGCATCATGTGACAGTCATCTCTCCTCTGCGGTGTGCCACCATCCTGACCAGATCTTCCACGCTTATAACCCCTGGATTTGACCAGTAGCCTCCTAATTGTTTCTCTGATTGTCTGATCTGGGAATAGCTTCTTCACTCAACCAACGTTTACACCACCTACTATATGCCAAGCACTGAGCTAGTGATGGGATACAGAGATACTGATGAGGTCACCATCCTCAATGATCTCAGATTTCAAGTGGGAGCCATCAAAGATTGCCCAAAAAGGTGGTGAGTGGTGTACCTGAAATGAATTCTCAGGTGGGATGAAATGCATATGAGGGCCGCTAATCAGACTGGAGGCAGGGTGTAAAAGGGTTAATCTTTAAGGAAGGCTTCCAAAAAAAAAAGAAAGAAAAGAAAAGAAAAGAAAAGAAAAGAAAAGAAAAGAAAAGAAAAGAAAAGAAAAGAAAAGAAAAGGTTTCCAGGAGGAGGTGACACACAAGCAGAATCCAGAGTATCTATCTGCGTAAGACGCGAAGGAAAACGATGTCCCCGGAGCAGGGAGCTTTACGTACAAAGCCCAAGATAGAATTCATTCTCAGAAGCGAGGATAGACCAGGTACTGGAGTCGGAGAAAATCCCAGCAGCGGGGCATCCTGGCCTCCCAATCAACGGACCCGCCTCCACCTCACTTTCTGTGGTCCGCCTTCCCTCTAGCAGGGAGGCGACCCTCCCCGCTCCGGGGAGCGACCCTCTCTGCTCAGGGAAGCCCTTCCTCCAGGCCTTTCCCTCCCCTGGCTCAGAATGAGACCCTCAACTGGCAGATACGAAGCTCGTCTTTCCGCCGACGTAGAGCCAACTTAATACGATACGCTCTAAGCGCTTCTAATGGGTATATCTTCCAACTTTGTCTTCAGGAAGACTCCGCCAACAGCGCCCTTCCACAAACCCTATTGCCGTCACCCTCAACCCTCTTTGGTCCTGGCTTTTCTCTACGTCTGCACAAAACTGAGGGCCGACCCCCCTTCCCTCCCATCCGGGATTCCATTCTCCCCGCACCGAGCAATTCCCGGAAACGGACTGCGGGGTGTGAGCACGCCACCCGGCGCGCTAAAGGGTGGAGCATTCAAATTACAAGAGACGTTACAGACCGATGCAGTCGCAAGCAACGACAAACTCATCACTTGTCTTTCAAAAGGAAGAGACTTTACAAAGCCGCACGAGAGCCTAGCGGCTAGTGCCGCCCGTGCCACGGTGGGAGAAGCGGGGGGAGCGAGACGTGGCCGGAGCGGGCGCCGAGTCACCGTGAGTGTAAGGTGGAGGTCGTCGGGAGGGCGTGCGCGGGGGCGTGCGCGTCGGCATCGCTTCTCGGCCTTTTGGCTAAGATCAAGTGTAGTATCTGTTCTTATCAGTTTAATATCTGATACGTCCTCTATCCGAGGACAATATATTAAATGGATTTTTGGAGCAGGGAGATGGAATAGGAGCTTGCTCCGTCCACTCCGCGCATCGACCTGGTATTGCAGTACCTCCGGGAACGGTGCACCCCCTCGGGGGAGGCTTTCGGTGACAAAGAGAGATAGTGAGTTGTCCGAAGCAGCGCTTAGGGAGGATCTTTGGTGTTCCCGCGGAGCCTCGGGACTGGGGCGAAGTACAACAAAGAGAACTTAGAGCGATGCTTCAACCGAGCTGACTTCTTGCGTTCTGGCTCTTTTTTTCTCCAATTCTGCTAACCCCAGGCGCAGTTTCACGGCGAGAACAACTGACAGTTGTACTACTGCTTTTCTCTTTCTGGTTTAAGTTGTTCATTTCCCTAAAGCTGTTTTTAAGTTTTATTTTTATCTTTTTTTTTCTTAAGCTTCATCTACTTATGAAAATGAGAGAGAGACCGAGAGAGGCACAGACCCACACAGGCACGGGGGAAGCAGGCTCCATGCAGGGAGCCTGACTTGGGACCGGATCTTGGATCCCCAGCATCACGTCCGGGTCCGCAAAGGGCTCTCTGCAGGGAGCTTGCTTCTCCCTCTTCTTCCTCTGCTTAGGTCTCTACCTCTCTCCGTGTTTCTCATGAATAAAGAGAATATTTAAAATCAATAAAATATTTTTATTTATTTTTTTAAAGATTTTATTTATTTATTCATGATAGTCACACAGAGAGAGACAGAGAGGCAGAGACACAGGCAGAGGGAGAAGCAGGCTTCCATGCAGGGAGCCTGACGCGGGATTCAACCCCGGGTCTCCAGGATCGCGCCCCGGGCCAAAGGCAGGCGCCAAACCGCTGCGCCACCCAGGGATCCCGATGAAATATTTTTAAGAAGAATCTCTTATAAAATTTGCCAGCAAGGAAAATACCTCCTCAGCGTGAGGCAGATTTTGTCTCCTGTCTCATGAAGTTTTGTGGGTAGTCTGAATATAATTTAACGAAACAAGTAAATCAAATACATACGAATAGGATAAAAAGTTTTTAGATGAAACTGTTTTTTGTGTACATACAATGGAATGTTTCAGCTCTATTGTTTATTTAAGTAATCTCCACACCCAATGTGGGGCTGGAACCCGCGACTCAGAGATCAAGACTTGCATGCTCTACCAACTAAGCCAGCCAAGCACTCCTAGGTGAATTATTATTATTATTATTTATTTATTTATTTATTTATTTACGACTCTATTTATTTGAGATAGAGTGTGTGTGAGAGAGCATGAGCAGGGGGCGGAGGGAGAGGGAGAATCGGACTCTGCTGGGCAGGGAGCCTGACTCAGGCCTTGATCCCAGGACCCTGGGAAAATGACCTGAGCTGAAGGCGGACGCTCAACCTAACTGACTCAGCCTGAAACCTTAAAGTTTTGCTAAGCTAAGAGATGAGTTACTTTCGTTAGATAGCCGGATCACATCCAAGTAAGATAATAAATGAAACATTGAAACATCGATTACTGAACAAAAAAAGTGGCTTATCCACTTTTTGCTTTTTTTTCTTAAATAGAGGAATTAAATATATTTGGATCTATTAATAAACGTGTTTAGTGCCACAGTAAGAAATTTACAGGAGAAAGCATGTGTTTCTAGAAATTATAAAAGGATAAATCTGCCAAGCCACAAAATGCTAAGATGGTTCACAGTGGCTTGCTTCTTAGTTTTCACTGGAAATTAAAGATTTCTAAGAGTTAAGCATCCTAATATATATAAGTAAAGCTACTAGAGATAATAAGGGAAAGGAACTTTATGTATGGTCAGGACTAAGATGGGAATGGCTTTAATTAAGTAAATGAAAGGTTTGTTTACAAAGGGGATCCCTGGGTGGCGCAGCGGTTTAGCGCCTGCCTTTGGCCCAGGGCGCGATCCTGGAGACCCGGGCTCGAATCCCACGTCGGGCTCCCGGTGCATGGAGCCTGCTTCTCCCTCTCCCTCTGCCTATGTCTGTCTGTCTGTCTGTCTCTCTCTCTCTCTCTGTGTGTGTGTGTGTGACTATCATAAATAAATAAAAATTTTTAAAGAAGATTTATTTATTGATTTGTGCTATAAATAAATATTATTTATCTATTTATTCACAAGAGACACAGAGACAGAGGCAGAGACAGAGACAGAGGCAGAGACATAGGCAGAGGGAGAAACAGGCTCCTCGCAGGGAGCCCGATGCAGAATTCGATCCCAGGATCCTAGGATCAAGACCTGAGACGAAGGGAGATGCCTAACCGAGGGAAGGGAAGGGAAGGGAAGGGAAGGGAAGGGAAGGGAAGGGAAGGGAAGGGAAGGGAAGGGAAGGGAGGGGAGGGGCAGACGGCGAGAGAAATCTAAGCAGACTCCTGGCTGAAGACTCACCCCGCTGTGGGGCTACATCTCACGATCCTGAGGTCAAGACCTGAGCAGAAACCAACAGTTGGACGCAGCCGACTGTGCCATCCAGGTGCCCCCCACTTTGTGTCTTAAACAATGGGCCAGACTCCCAACATTCTGCTCTTGGGAGCATGTTTTCCAGCTTCTTAAATCAGTGCGTGCCAACGCAGCCCCCTGCCCCGCCATGCCACATGCACCTGAGTCTGTTTCCGCGTCTAGTTAGCTCAAATCTCTTTCTGAAGCTCAGTTTTCCCATCTGTTAAGTGGAGATCATAAACCCTGACCCACGTCCTCACATGGTAGATGGGAATAAGGATCCACCCATAACCAAGATGTAAAACAACCAGCCAAGAGTAAGGGTCCCCTTAATTCTGTGAGAGGAGGAAGAGGAAGAAAGCTGAAGATATTGGGCGGTGGTCCTTGGCAGCCTCGATTTCTTCAGGTGAAAAACATGATAGATAACATTTTCCCTTTGGGATTGTGGAAAGACCAAAAGAGAAAACGAAGGGATTAGCTGGCACACAGTGGGTTCTGAACAATGGCAGGCAACTTGTGAAGCCCCGTTCTGGGTTCTGAGTCTCACTTGTATTACAGATCTAATCTAGCGGGACATGGAACTTGCTCTCCAGCACAGAAGCCCTGCTATTTTAGTCCCAGGATCCTGAATACATTCGGGATGAGAGGCTGGGGGCAGGCGCTCTGTGGGCCCACGCATTGTCTTGACCACCACGCGTAACATCCTGGGCTTTCAGGCTTGGATCAACACCAACACGTGTCAAAGAGACGCAGTGCGACAGCTCCACACTTCTTTGTTCATCTCTCTCCAGGAGCATTAAAGCTTTTTTATTATCCCAGCCACAGCTCTTGGAGGCTCTGAGTCACTAACAACTTAAAAAGAAAAAACGAAACCTTGCCTCCTGTGTTCTGGGCACCCTCCTTTTCTCTGTCTGACCGCCAGACGATTGTGGAAACTGCCTTGCAGACTCTCCTCAGAGGTTCAGAAGGTAAAGGTGAGAGAAGGGCGGGTTGCGTATGTTGGTAGTGAGAGCTGAGATCCTGAAAACTATGTTTGCTGCTGCTCCCGTCTCTCTCCCCCAGTCATCAAGTCCTGTAGCAGAACACTCGTCAACCCGTAAGGTACGCGTGCGTTCCAGGAGAGTCTTGTTAAATACTCTGTGGCTCTGCATTTCCAACATGCTCATGGGACCCCAGTGCTGCTGGGGTAGGGCCCACACTTTGAGCAGCAAGGTGCCAAACTGTCCCACCTCAAGTCATTTTTTCAAAATTATTCGTGGCACGCCTGAATAATTGGCGTCAGCGGCTGAGTGTCTCCTTTTCGGCTCAGGGCGTGATGCTGGGATCCAGGAGCAAATCTCACGTTGGGCTCCTTGCAGGGAGCCTGCTTCTCCCTCTGCCTGTGTCTCTGCCTCTCTGTGTGAGTGTGTCTCATGAATAAATAAATACAATTTTAATAAAATAAAATGTTTAAAGATTTTATTTATTTCTTCATGCAAGACACAGAGACATAGGCAGAGGGAGGAGCAGACTCCCTGTGGGGAGCCTGATGTGTGGCACTTGATCTCAGAACCCCAGAATCACAACTTGATCCAAGGGCAGACTTTCAACCACTGAGCCACCCAGGCGCCCCATTTCTTTTTAAGATTTTTATTTGGGGGACGCTTGGGTGGCTCAGCAGTTAAGTGTCTGCCTTCAGCCCAGGACGGGATCCTGGGGTCCCAGGATCGGGTCCTGCATCGGTCTCCCTGCATGAAGCCTGCTTCTCCCTCTGCCTATGTCTCTGCCTCTCTCTCTCTGGGTCTCTCATGAATAAATAAATAAATAAATAAATAAAATCTTAAACAACAAACAAAAATGGCTCAAGGTGAGGGATGCCTAGGTGATCCCATCTGGTTAGGTGTCTGCCTTTGGCTCAGGTCCTGATCCCAGGATCCTGGCAATGAGCCCCGAGTTTGAGCTTCCCACTCAGCAGGGAGTGTTTCTCCCTCTGCCCCTCCCCCTCCATTCATGCGCTCTCTCTCGCGCTCTCTCTCTCTCTCTCTCTCTGTCTCTCTCTCAAATAAAATCTTTTTTTTTTTTTTAAGCCACTTTTGAAACAAGGTATCTTTCACTAGTCTCTCCCGCCAGGTCTCTTCCACTAGTTATGAAAGGCGGGGTGATGGAAAGAAGCTGATGGAGCCGTGCAAGGGGACAGTGTAGACACTGGCTTGAAGGCAGGGCTGCCACAGGACCAGGCAAAACATATGCAATGGGGCCTGGACTTGAGGGTGCTGTCCTCCTCGGCTGGTGGGGACCCAATGCCCTCTCAGACCCGAGGACCGAGCACAGGAGCCCCTGGAGTCGGCAACCGTGGCACCAACAGATGTTCTCTGGTTGTGCATAGGCTTCCCCAACAGCTGCGTGAGGAGTGGATGGGGCTGAATGGCGGCAGAGAGGAATGGAAGAGCATGAGCGTGGCAGATGCCCCTTGTGACCAAGGACAAGGTCACGTTCACCTCTGTGATCCCGGGCCCACACAGTGACAGGTGCAGAGCAGGTGTTACACCGAAGAATTGGGTGGGTCAAAAATTTCATTTTATGTTATTATTTTATTGAACGATTTATTTATTTGAGAGAGGGAGAGAGGGACAGAGAGCATGAGCAGGAGGGGCAGAGAGAGGAGAGAGAATCTCAAACAGACTCCAAGCTGAGCACGGAGCCTGATGTGGGGCTTGATCCCAGGGCCCTGAGATCGATCAGGACCCAAGCCGAAACCAAGAGCTAGATATTTAACTGACTGCGCCACCGAGGTGCCTCTGAATCAACAAATTTAAAAAGAGGTTTTCAGGGCAGCCCGGTGGCTCAGCGGTTTAGCGCCGCCTTCAGCCCAGGGCCTGATCCTGGAGTCCCGGGATCATCGGATCGAGTCCCACATCCGGCTCCCTGCATGGAGCCTGCCTCTCTCTCTCTCTCTCTCTCTCTCTCTCTCTCTCTCTCTCTCTCCCCCCATGTCATGAATAAGTAAATAAAATTTAAAAATAAAATAAACGAAAGAAAAATAGGAAAGAAAGGGAGATCCAGAAATAGATCTAAATATATATGAGGACTTTTTGGTATGATAAAGGTGGCATCTGAAAATGATGATTAGATGGGCTCTTCCATATATGATGCAGGAACCACTGGGTAGCCATCCAGAAAAAATAAGGTCAGATTAATACCGGAACGTATATACTAGGACAGATACCAAGTGCGCCAGAGATAGAAATGCAAAAAATCAACAATTCTAAGGACAGTGAGCAGAGAATATGAACACTCAGTTCACAGCAAATAATAGTGGATGTGAAGCACATGGAAAGATGAACAACCTGGCTTATGAAGACACCACTGCATACGATGCAAGAGTTTGATAACCAGACGGTTGGGCAAGGCCGTGGGGAACACGCATTGGATGAGAAAGCTAGCTGTCCTCTTCAAGTCCCTGCCCCTGGCTTATCATTCCCGACTCCCTTGAAGCGATAGTAAGTTGGACACTTGGAAAGGGCCTGACCCTCACACTTGTTGTTGCTCTAACTTTGCAGGCACTTTGGTCTGTGCCCATTGATGTGAGCCGGCTAAGGGAGACCCACATTAACCAAACACACGAGAAGCTGGTGTGTGAACTAGAAGGGGAAATCATTTTTTATTTTTATTTTTTTAAAGATTTTATTTATGGGATCCCTGGGTGGCGCAGCGGTTTAGCGCCTGCCTTTGGCCCAGGGCGCGATCCTGGAGACCCGGGATCGAGTCCCACATCGGGCTCTTGGTGCATGGAGCCTGCTTCTCCCTCTGCCTGTGTCTCTCTCTCTCTCTGTGACTATCATAAATAAATAAAAAAAAAAGATTTTATTTATTTAATCATGAGAGAGAGAGAGAGAGAGAGAGAGAGAGAGACAGGCAGAGACACAGGCAGAGGGAGAAGCAGGCTCCATGCAGGGAGCCTGACGTGGGACTCATCCTGGGTGTCCAGGATCACGCCCTGGGCTAAAGTCGGTGCTAAACAGCTGAGCCACCCAGGCTGCCCCGAAATCATTTTTTAAACGATTTAACTCATTTATTTGACACAGAAAAAGAGAGAACACAAGCAGGGGGAGTAGCAGAGAGAGAGAGAGAGAGAGAGAGAGAGAGACCAATGCAGGGCTCAGTCCCAAGACTCCAGGATCATGACCTGAGCCAAAGGCAGACGCTAGAGCGACTGAGCCACCCACGTGCCCCGAGAAATCATTTTTTTAAGTATTGTATTTATTTTTATTTTTTTATTTTTGTTTTTTTTTTTATTATTTATGATAGTCACACAGAATGAGAGAGAGAGAGGCAGAGACACAGGCAGAGGGAGAGGCAGGCTCCATGCACCGGGAGCCCGACGTGGGATTCGATCCCGGGTCTCCAGGATCGCGCCCTGGGCCAAAGGCGAGCGCTAAACCGCTGCGCCACCCAGGGATCCCCTGTATTTATTTATTTTTAAGTAGGCTCCACGTGCGAGTGGGACTTGAACACAGGACCCCGTTCTAGAGCTTACATGCTATGAGGCTAAAAGGCAATAAATAAATGTATAAAATGTCAAGTGACGCCGTGCTGTGGAATACAGGAAAGCCAGGTAAGGGAGAAGCAGGGGCCCTGGGCGGATGACGGAAGATGAAGCACAGGACTCTCTGCCAGCTGTTGATAGTCTCCCTTTCCAGACGAGGAGGGTACAGAGAAAGGACCTGCCTGACATGTTTTGGCCTTGTGTCTGGTTCTCACCAATACACTGTATACGGAACATGGGAACGTGGGCCACCTGGGTGGCTCAGCGGTTGAGCGTCAGTCAGTCTGTGGCCCAGGTGGTGATCCCGGGTCTTGGGATCGAGTGGTGCATGGGGCTCCCGGGAGGGAGCCCGTTCCTCCCCCTGCCTATGTCTCTGCCTCTCTCTCTCTCCCTCGGTCTCTCATAAATAAATATATACATACATACATGAATGAATGAATGAATGAATGAATGAAAGAAAGAAAGAAAGAAAGAAAGAACGAAAGAAAGAAATCTTAAAAAAAACAAAGAAGCCTGTCTCGTTACTGCTAATAATCATGTCTGATAACTTGTCATCTCATCATCTCCCGGTTTAGAGATCTCAGATGGAAGGGTTGACGGAGGAGGCCAGGTTACTCGCTAGGTCCCACGGGTCCGCAGGGCTTAGCGCCCACGCTCGCCAGCTCCACGCTCCGGGGCACCCCCCCCCGCCCCGCCCCCCGCCCGCGTCCCGTCGGCGGAGGCAGCGGGAAGAGGACCCCAGAGGACCCGTGTGTCAGCATCGGCAATGCTCAGTCTCGTCGTGGGCCTGACTGGGAAGAAGCATTCCTCGGTTGCCGGCGCCCCCGGCTTCCTCGGCCTAGCCTGCCCCTCGCACTCACTCGCCAAGCTGTGTGGTCTCGGGCCAGTTGCCTAACCTCTCTGCCTCCACCGCTTCTTCCGTAGGTAAACTCTGCAAGTTGGACGCCAAGAGAGCACTGAGCGCAAGTCTGGCCCAGACGAGAAGCGTTGGCTACGGTATAGCGCACGCGGCTCACTCGTTTCGGTGTCACAGGCACGACGTCTCCACCGGTACCTCGTGGCACCTAGGACCCACATCCTGGACCACTCAGACCCCAAGGTCAGGTCACGCTCGAGCTACCTCGGCCTTCCCTCAATCCCACTAAGGAAGGAACGTAGGAAGGTGGCCACTTCTGCCCTGGGGAAACGGAGGCCCGGGGGCGGGGGGGGGGGGGGAGGAGGGAGGGGTTTAGGTAGATGCCCAAGGAGCCCTCCTGATGGGGTAGGGAGGCCACCCGTTCAGGGCCCGGTCTCGGGTCCCAAGTGGTGTCTGGAGCCCTTGGCAGGTGACGCCAGCCAGCCAGGCGCTTCTGGGCTCCTCCCCACGCCCTGGCCGCAGCCAGCCCGTAGGGTCCCGCAGTGACGACGTGAGGGGACTCCTGGGCCCTGGGACGACTCAGCGCCAGCCCCCGGCGCCAGCCCCACGCCCGGTTCCACGCCCCCCAGGCCGGCCAAAGCGTGAAGCCGAGGGCGCCTGGCCTGCAGCCAGGTTCCGCCGCCCGCCGCGCCTCTAGGGCTCCGCGCGCGGAGGGGCGGGCCATTCAAATTAGGAAGGGCCTTGCGGGGCCGGCGACGACGCGACGACGGACGCGTCGTTTGTCTTTCAAAAGGAAGAGACTTTACAAAGCCGCACGAGAGCCTAGCGGCTAGTGCCGCCCGTGCCACGGTGGGAGAAGCGGGGGGAGCGAGACGTGGCCGGAGCGGGCGCCGAGTCACCGTGAGTGTAAGGTGGAGGTCGTCGGGAGGGCGTGCGCGGGGGCGTGCGCGTCGGCATCGCTTCTCGGCCTTTTGGCTAAGATCAAGTGTAGTATCTGTTCTTATCAGTTTAATATCTGATACGTCCTCTATCCGAGGACAATATATTAAATGGATTTTTGGAGCAGGGAGATGGAATAGGAGCTTGCTCCGTCCACTCCGCGCATCGACCTGGTATTGCAGCACCTCCGGGAACGGTGCACCCCCTCGGGGGAGGCTTTCGGTGACAAAGAGAGATAGTGAGTTGTCCGAAGCAGCGCTTAGGGAGGATCTTTGGTGTTCCCGCGGAGCCTCGGGACTGGGGCGAAGTACAACAAAGAGAACTTAGAGCGATGCTTCAACCGAGCTGACTTCTTGCGTTCTGGCTCTTTTTTTCTCCAATTCTGCTAACCCCAGGCGCAGTTTCACGGCGAGAACAACTGACAGTTGTACTACTGCTTTTCTCTTTCTGGTTTAAGTTGTTCATTTCCCTAAAGCTGTTTTTAAGTTTTATTTTTATCTTTTTTTTTCTTAAGCTTCATCTACTTATGAAAATGAGAGAGAGACCGAGAGAGGCACAGACCCACACAGGCACGGGGGAAGCAGGCTCCATGCAGGGAGCCTGACTTGGGACCGGATCTTGGATCCCCAGCATCACGTCCGGGTCCGCAAAGGGCTCTCTGCAGGGAGCTTGCTTCTCCCTCTTCTTCCTCTGCTTAGGTCTCTACCTCTCTCCGTGTTTCTCATGAATAAAGAGAATATTTAAAATCAATAAAATATTTTTATTTATTTTTTTAAAGATTTTATTTATTTATTCATGATAGTCACACAGAGAGAGACAGAGAGGCAGAGACACAGGCAGAGGGAGAAGCAGGCTTCCATGCAGGGAGCCTGACGCGGGATTCAACCCCGGGTCTCCAGGATCGCGCCCCGGGCCAAAGGCAGGCGCCAAACCGCTGCGCCACCCAGGGATCCCGATGAAATATTTTTAAGAAGAATCTCTTATAAAATTTGCCAGCAAGGAAAATACCTCCTCAGCGTGAGGCAGATTTTGTCTCCTGTCTCATGAAGTTTTGTGGGTAGTCTGAATATAATTTAACGAAACAAGTAAATCAAATACATACGAATAGGATAAAAAGTTTTTAGATGAAACTGTTTTTTGTGTACATACAATGGAATGTTTCAGCTCTATTGTTTATTTAAGTAATCTCCACACCCAATGTGGGGCTGGAACCCGCGACTCAGAGATCAAGACTTGCATGCTCTACCAACTAAGCCAGCCAAGCACTCCTAGGTGAATTATTATTATTATTATTTATTTATTTATTTATTTATTTACGACTCTATTTATTTGAGATAGAGTGTGTGTGAGAGAGCATGAGCAGGGGGCGGAGGGAGAGGGAGAATCGGACTCTGCTGGGCAGGGAGCCTGACTCAGGCCTTGATCCCAGGACCCTGGGAAAATGACCTGAGCTGAAGGCGGACGCTCAACCTAACTGACTCAGCCTGAAACCTTAAAGTTTTGCTAAGCTAAGAGATGAGTTACTTTCGTTAGATAGCCGGATCACATCCAAGTAAGATAATAAATGAAACATTGAAACATCGATTACTGAACAAAAAAAGTGGCTTATCCACTTTTTGCTTTTTTTTCTTAAATAGAGGAATTAAATATATTTGGATCTATTAATAAACGTGTTTAGTGCCACAGTAAGAAATTTACAGGAGAAAGCATGTGTTTCTAGAAATTATAAAAGGATAAATCTGCCAAGCCACAAAATGCTAAGATGGTTCACAGTGGCTTGCTTCTTAGTTTTCACTGGAAATTAAAGATTTCTAAGAGTTAAGCATCCTAATATATATAAGTAAAGCTACTAGAGATAATAAGGGAAAGGAACTTTATGTATGGTCAGGACTAAGATGGGAATGGCTTTAATTAAGTAAATGAAAGGTTTGTTTACAAAGGGGATCCCTGGGTGGCGCAGCGGTTTAGCGCCTGCCTTTGGCCCAGGGCGCGACCCTGGAGACCCGGGCTCGAATCCCACGTCGGGCTCCCGGTGCATGGAGCCTGCTTCTCCCTCTCCCTCTGCCTATGTCTGTCTGTCTGTCTGTCTCTCTCTCTCTCTCTGTGTGTGTGTGTGTGACTATCATAAATAAATAAAAATTTTTAAAGAAGATTTATTTATTGATTTGTGCTATAAATAAATATTATTTATCTATTTATTCACAAGAGACACAGAGACAGAGGCAGAGACAGAGACAGAGGCAGAGACATAGGCAGAGGGAGAAACAGGCTCCTCGCAGGGAGCCCGATGCAGAATTCGATCCCAGGATCCTAGGATCAAGACCTGAGACGAAGGGAGATGCCTAACCGAGGGAAGGGAAGGGAAGGGAAGGGAAGGGAAGGGAAGGGAAGGGAAGGGAAGGGAAGGGAAGGGAAGGGAAGGGAGGGGAGGGGCAGACGGCGAGAGAAATCTAAGCAGACTCCTGGCTGAAGACTCACCCCGCTGTGGGGCTACATCTCACGATCCTGAGGTCAAGACCTGAGCAGAAACCAACAGTTGGACGCAGCCGACTGTGCCATCCAGGTGCCCCCCACTTTGTGTCTTAAACAATGGGCCAGACTCCCAACATTCTGCTCTTGGGAGCATGTTTTCCAGCTTCTTAAATCAGTGCGTGCCAACGCAGCCCCCTGCCCCGCCATGCCACATGCACCTGAGTCTGTTTCCGCGTCTAGTTAGCTCAAATCTCTTTCTGAAGCTCAGTTTTCCCATCTGTTAAGTGGAGATCATAAACCCTGACCCACGTCCTCACATGGTAGATGGGAATAAGGATCCACCCATAACCAAGATGTAAAACAACCAGCCAAGAGTAAGGGTCCCCTTAATTCTGTGAGAGGAGGAAGAGGAAGAAAGCTGAAGATATTGGGCGGTGGTCCTTGGCAGCCTCGATTTCTTCAGGTGAAAAACATGATAGATAACATTTTCCCTTTGGGATTGTGGAAAGACCAAAAGAGAAAACGAAGGGATTAGCTGGCACACAGTGGGTTCTGAACAATGGCAGGCAACTTGTGAAGCCCCGTTCTGGGTTCTGAGTCTCACTTGTATTACAGATCTAATCTAGCGGGACATGGAACTTGCTCTCCAGCACAGAAGCCCTGCTATTTTAGTCCCAGGATCCTGAATACATTCGGGATGAGAGGCTGGGGGCAGGCGCTCTGTGGGCCCACGCATTGTCTTGACCACCACGCGTAACATCCTGGGCTTTCAGGCTTGGATCAACACCAACACGTGTCAAAGAGACGCAGTGCGACAGCTCCACACTTCTTTGTTCATCTCTCTCCAGGAGCATTAAAGCTTTTTTATTATCCCAGCCACAGCTCTTGGAGGCTCTGAGTCACTAACAACTTAAAAAGAAAAAACGAAACCTTGCCTCCTGTGTTCTGGGCACCCTCCTTTTCTCTGTCTGACCGCCAGACGATTGTGGAAACTGCCTTGCAGACTCTCCTCAGAGGTTCAGAAGGTAAAGGTGAGAGAAGGGCGGGTTGCGTATGTTGGTAGTGAGAGCTGAGATCCTGAAAACTATGTTTGCTGCTGCTCCCGTCTCTCTCCCCCAGTCATCAAGTCCTGTAGCAGAACACTCGTCAACCCGTAAGGTACGCGTGCGTTCCAGGAGAGTCTTGTTAAATACTCTGTGGCTCTGCATTTCCAACATGCTCATGGGACCCCAGTGCTGCTGGGGTAGGGCCCACACTTTGAGCAGCAAGGTGCCAAACTGTCCCACCTCAAGTCATTTTTTCAAAATTATTCGTGGCACGCCTGAATAATTGGCGTCAGCGGCTGAGTGTCTCCTTTTCGGCTCAGGGCGTGATGCTGGGATCCAGGAGCAAATCTCACGTTGGGCTCCTTGCAGGGAGCCTGCTTCTCCCTCTGCCTGTGTCTCTGCCTCTCTGTGTGAGTGTGTCTCATGAATAAATAAATACAATTTTAATAAAATAAAATGTTTAAAGATTTTATTTATTTCTTCATGCAAGACACAGAGACATAGGCAGAGGGAGGAGCAGACTCCCTGTGGGGAGCCTGATGTGTGGCACTTGATCTCAGAACCCCAGAATCACAACTTGATCCAAGGGCAGACTTTCAACCACTGAGCCACCCAGGCGCCCCATTTCTTTTTAAGATTTTTATTTGGGGGACGCTTGGGTGGCTCAGCAGTTAAGTGTCTGCCTTCAGCCCAGGACGGGATCCTGGGGTCCCAGGATCGGGTCCTGCATCGGTCTCCCTGCATGAAGCCTGCTTCTCCCTCTGCCTATGTCTCTGCCTCTCTCTCTCTGGGTCTCTCATGAATAAATAAATAAATAAATAAAATCTTAAACAACAAACAAAAATGGCTCAAGGTGAGGGATGCCTAGGTGATCCCATCTGGTTAGGTGTCTGCCTTTGGCTCAGGTCCTGATCCCAGGATCCTGGCAATGAGCCCCGAGTTTGAGCTTCCCACTCAGCAGGGAGTGTTTCTCCCTCTGCCCCTCCCCCTCCATTCATGCGCTCTCTCTCGCGCTCTCTCTCTCTCTCTCTCTGTCTCTCTCTCAAATAAAATCTTTTTTTTTTTTTTAAGCCACTTTTGAAACAAGGTATCTTTCACTAGTCTCTCCCGCCAGGTCTCTTCCACTAGTTATGAAAGGCGGGGTGATGGAAAGAAGCTGATGGAGCCGTGCAAGGGGACAGTGTAGACACTGGCTTGAAGGCAGGGCTGCCACAGGACCAGGCAAAACATATGCAATGGGGCCTGGACTTGAGGGTGCTGTCCTCCTCGGCTGGTGGGGACCCAATGCCCTCTCAGACCCGAGGACCGAGCACAGGAGCCCCTGGAGTCGGCAACCGTGGCACCAACAGATGTTCTCTGGTTGTGCATAGGCTTCCCCAACAGCTGCGTGAGGAGTGGATGGGGCTGAATGGCGGCAGAGAGGAATGGAAGAGCATGAGCGTGGCAGATGCCCCTTGTGACCAAGGACAAGGTCACGTTCACCTCTGTGATCCCGGGCCCACACAGTGACAGGTGCAGAGCAGGTGTTACACCGAAGAATTGGGTGGGTCAAAAATTTCATTTTATGTTATTATTTTATTGAACGATTTATTTATTTGAGAGAGGGAGAGAGGGACAGAGAGCATGAGCAGGAGGGGCAGAGAGAGGAGAGAGAATCTCAAACAGACTCCAAGCTGAGCACGGAGCCTGATGTGGGGCTTGATCCCAGGGCCCTGAGATCGATCAGGACCCAAGCCGAAACCAAGAGCTAGATATTTAACTGACTGCGCCACCGAGGTGCCTCTGAATCAACAAATTTAAAAAGAGGTTTTCAGGGCAGCCCGGTGGCTCAGCGGTTTAGCGCCGCCTTCAGCCCAGGGCCTGATCCTGGAGTCCCGGGATCATCGGATCGAGTCCCACATCCGGCTCCCTGCATGGAGCCTGCCTCTCTCTCTCTCTCTCTCTCTCTCTCTCTCTCTCTCTCTCTCTCTCCCCCCATGTCATGAATAAGTAAATAAAATTTAAAAATAAAATAAACGAAAGAAAAATAGGAAAGAAAGGGAGATCCAGAAATAGATCTAAATATATATGAGGACTTTTTGGTATGATAAAGGTGGCATCTGAAAATGATGATTAGATGGGCTCTTCCATATATGATGCAGGAACCACTGGGTAGCCATCCAGAAAAAATAAGGTCAGATTAATACCGGAACGTATATACTAGGACAGATACCAAGTGCGCCAGAGATAGAAATGCAAAAAATCAACAATTCTAAGGACAGTGAGCAGAGAATATGAACACTCAGTTCACAGCAAATAATAGTGGATGTGAAGCACATGGAAAGATGAACAACCTGGCTTATGAAGACACCACTGCATACGATGCAAGAGTTTGATAACCAGACGGTTGGGCAAGGCCGTGGGGAACACGCATTGGATGAGAAAGCTAGCTGTCCTCTTCAAGTCCCTGCCCCTGGCTTATCATTCCCGACTCCCTTGAAGCGATAGTAAGTTGGACACTTGGAAAGGGCCTGACCCTCACACTTGTTGTTGCTCTAACTTTGCAGGCACTTTGGTCTGTGCCCATTGATGTGAGCCGGCTAAGGGAGACCCACATTAACCAAACACACGAGAAGCTGGTGTGTGAACTAGAAGGGGAAATCATTTTTTATTTTTATTTTTTTAAAGATTTTATTTATGGGATCCCTGGGTGGCGCAGCGGTTTAGCGCCTGCCTTTGGCCCAGGGCGCGATCCTGGAGACCCGGGATCGAGTCCCACATCGGGCTCTTGGTGCATGGAGCCTGCTTCTCCCTCTGCCTGTGTCTCTCTCTCTCTCTGTGACTATCATAAATAAATAAAAAAAAAGATTTTATTTATTTAATCATGAGAGAGAGAGAGAGAGAGAGAGAGAGAGACAGGCAGAGACACAGGCAGAGGGAGAAGCAGGCTCCATGCAGGGAGCCTGACGTGGGACTCATCCTGGGTGTCCAGGATCACGCCCTGGGCTAAAGTCGGTGCTAAACAGCTGAGCCACCCAGGCTGCCCCGAAATCATTTTTTAAACGATTTAACTCATTTATTTGACACAGAAAAAGAGAGAACACAAGCAGGGGGAGTAGCAGAGAGAGAGAGAGAGAGAGAGAGAGACCAATGCAGGGCTCAGTCCCAAGACTCCAGGATCATGACCTGAGCCAAAGGCAGACGCTAGAGCGACTGAGCCACCCACGTGCCCCGAGAAATCATTTTTTTAAGTATTGTATTTATTTTTATTTTTTTATTTTTGTTTTTTTTTTTATTATTTATGATAGTCACACAGAATGAGAGAGAGAGAGGCAGAGACACAGGCAGAGGGAGAGGCAGGCTCCATGCACCGGGAGCCCGACGTGGGATTCGATCCCGGGTCTCCAGGATCGCGCCCTGGGCCAAAGGCGAGCGCTAAACCGCTGCGCCACCCAGGGATCCCCTGTATTTATTTATTTTTAAGTAGGCTCCACGTGCGAGTGGGACTTGAACACAGGACCCCGTTCTAGAGCTTACATGCTATGAGGCTAAAAGGCAATAAATAAATGTATAAAATGTCAAGTGACGCCGTGCTGTGGAATACAGGAAAGCCAGGTAAGGGAGAAGCAGGGGCCCTGGGCGGATGACGGAAGATGAAGCACAGGACTCTCTGCCAGCTGTTGATAGTCTCCCTTTCCAGACGAGGAGGGTACAGAGAAAGGACCTGCCTGACATGTTTTGGCCTTGTGTCTGGTTCTCACCAATACACTGTATACGGAACATGGGAACGTGGGCCACCTGGGTGGCTCAGCGGTTGAGCGTCAGTCAGTCTGTGGCCCAGGTGGTGATCCCGGGTCTTGGGATCGAGTGGTGCATGGGGCTCCCGGGAGGGAGCCCGTTCCTCCCCCTGCCTATGTCTCTGCCTCTCTCTCTCTCCCTCGGTCTCTCATAAATAAATATATACATACATACATGAATGAATGAATGAATGAATGAATGAAAGAAAGAAAGAACGAAAGAAAGAAAGAACGAAAGAAAGAAATCTTAAAAAAAACAAAGAAGCCTGTCTCGTTACTGCTAATAATCATGTCTGATAACTTGTCATCTCATCATCTCCCGGTTTAGAGATCTCAGATGGAAGGGTTGACGGAGGAGGCCAGGTTACTCGCTAGGTCCCACGGGTCCGCAGGGCTTAGCGCCCACGCTCGCCAGCTCCACGCTCCGGGGCACCCCCCCCCGCCCCGCCCCCCGCCCGCGTCCCGTCGGCGGAGGCAGCGGGAAGAGGACCCCAGAGGACCCGTGTGTCAGCATCGGCAATGCTCAGTCTCGTCGTGGGCCTGACTGGGAAGAAGCATTCCTCGGTTGCCGGCGCCCCCGGCTTCCTCGGCCTAGCCTGCCCCTCGCACTCACTCGCCAAGCTGTGTGGTCTCGGGCCAGTTGCCTAACCTCTCTGCCTCCACCGCTTCTTCCGTAGGTAAACTCTGCAAGTTGGACGCCAAGAGAGCACTGAGCGCAAGTCTGGCCCAGACGAGAAGCGTTGGCTACGGTATAGCGCACGCGGCTCACTCGTTTCGGTGTCACAGGCACGACGTCTCCACCGGTACCTCGTGGCACCTAGGACCCACATCCTGGACCACTCAGACCCCAAGGTCAGGTCACGCTCGAGCTACCTCGGCCTTCCCTCAATCCCACTAAGGAAGGAACGTAGGAAGGTGGCCACTTCTGCCCTGGGGAAACGGAGGCCCGGGGGCGGGGGGGGGGGGGAGGAGGGAGGGGTTTAGGTAGATGCCCAAGGAGCCCTCCTGATGGGGTAGGGAGGCCACCCGTTCAGGGCCCGGTCTCGGGTCCCAAGTGGTGTCTGGAGCCCTTGGCAGGTGACGCCAGCCAGCCAGGCGCTTCTGGGCTCCTCCCCACGCCCTGGCCGCAGCCAGCCCGTAGGGTCCCGCAGTGACGACGTGAGGGGACTCCTGGGCCCTGGGACGACTCAGCGCCAGCCCCCGGCGCCAGCCCCACGCCCGGTTCCACGCCCCCCAGGCCGGCCAAAGCGTGAAGCCGAGGGCGCCTGGCCTGCAGCCAGGTTCCGCCGCCCGCCGCGCCTCTAGGGCTCCGCGCGCGGAGGGGCGGGCCATTCAAATTAGGAAGGGCCTTGCGGGGCCGGCGACGACGCGACGACGGACGCGTCGTTTGTCTTTCAAAAGGAAGAGACTTTACAAAGCCGCACGAGAGCCTAGCGGCTAGTGCCGCCCGTGCCACGGTGGGAGAAGCGGGGGGAGCGAGACGTGGCCGGAGCGGGCGCCGAGTCACCGTGAGTGTAAGGTGGAGGTCGTCGGGAGGGCGTGCGCGGGGGCGTGCGCGTCGGCATCGCTTCTCGGCCTTTTGGCTAAGATCAAGTGTAGTATCTGTTCTTATCAGTTTAATATCTGATACGTCCTCTATCCGAGGACAATATATTAAATGGATTTTTGGAGCAGGGAGATGGAATAGGAGCTTGCTCCGTCCACTCCGCGCATCGACCTGGTATTGCAGCACCTCCGGGAACGGTGCACCCCCTCGGGGGAGGCTTTCGGTGACAAAGAGAGATAGTGAGTTGTCCGAAGCAGCGCTTAGGGAGGATCTTTGGTGTTCCCGCGGAGCCTCGGGACTGGGGCGAAGTACAACAAAGAGAACTTAGAGCGATGCTTCAACCGAGCTGACTTCTTGCGTTCTGGCTCTTTTTTTCTCCAATTCTGCTAACCCCAGGCGCAGTTTCACGGCGAGAACAACTGACAGTTGTACTACTGCTTTTCTCTTTCTGGTTTAAGTTGTTCATTTCCCTAAAGCTGTTTTTAAGTTTTATTTTTATCTTTTTTTTTCTTAAGCTTCATCTACTTATGAAAATGAGAGAGAGACCGAGAGAGGCACAGACCCACACAGGCACGGGGGAAGCAGGCTCCATGCAGGGAGCCTGACTTGGGACCGGATCTTGGATCCCCAGCATCACGTCCGGGTCCGCAAAGGGCTCTCTGCAGGGAGCTTGCTTCTCCCTCTTCTTCCTCTGCTTAGGTCTCTACCTCTCTCCGTGTTTCTCATGAATAAAGAGAATATTTAAAATCAATAAAATATTTTTATTTATTTTTTTAAAGATTTTATTTATTTATTCATGATAGTCACACAGAGAGAGACAGAGAGGCAGAGACACAGGCAGAGGGAGAAGCAGGCTTCCATGCAGGGAGCCTGACGCGGGATTCAACCCCGGGTCTCCAGGATCGCGCCCCGGGCCAAAGGCAGGCGCCAAACCGCTGCGCCACCCAGGGATCCCGATGAAATATTTTTAAGAAGAATCTCTTATAAAATTTGCCAGCAAGGAAAATACCTCCTCAGCGTGAGGCAGATTTTGTCTCCTGTCTCATGAAGTTTTGTGGGTAGTCTGAATATAATTTAACGAAACAAGTAAATCAAATACATACGAATAGGATAAAAAGTTTTTAGATGAAACTGTTTTTTGTGTACATACAATGGAATGTTTCAGCTCTATTGTTTATTTAAGTAATCTCCACACCCAATGTGGGGCTGGAACCCGCGACTCAGAGATCAAGACTTGCATGCTCTACCAACTAAGCCAGCCAAGCACTCCTAGGTGAATTATTATTATTATTATTTATTTATTTATTTATTTATTTACGACTCTATTTATTTGAGATAGAGTGTGTGTGAGAGAGCATGAGCAGGGGGCGGAGGGAGAGGGAGAATCGGACTCTGCTGGGCAGGGAGCCTGACTCAGGCCTTGATCCCAGGACCCTGGGAAAATGACCTGAGCTGAAGGCGGACGCTCAACCTAACTGACTCAGCCTGAAACCTTAAAGTTTTGCTAAGCTAAGAGATGAGTTACTTTCGTTAGATAGCCGGATCACATCCAAGTAAGATAATAAATGAAACATTGAAACATCGATTACTGAACAAAAAAAGTGGCTTATCCACTTTTTGCTTTTTTTTCTTAAATAGAGGAATTAAATATATTTGGATCTATTAATAAACGTGTTTAGTGCCACAGTAAGAAATTTACAGGAGAAAGCATGTGTTTCTAGAAATTATAAAAGGATAAATCTGCCAAGCCACAAAATGCTAAGATGGTTCACAGTGGCTTGCTTCTTAGTTTTCACTGGAAATTAAAGATTTCTAAGAGTTAAGCATCCTAATATATATAAGTAAAGCTACTAGAGATAATAAGGGAAAGGAACTTTATGTATGGTCAGGACTAAGATGGGAATGGCTTTAATTAAGTAAATGAAAGGTTTGTTTACAAAGGGGATCCCTGGGTGGCGCAGCGGTTTAGCGCCTGCCTTTGGCCCAGGGCGCGACCCTGGAGACCCGGGCTCGAATCCCACGTCGGGCTCCCGGTGCATGGAGCCTGCTTCTCCCTCTCCCTCTGCCTATGTCTGTCTGTCTGTCTGTCTCTCTCTCTCTCTCTGTGTGTGTGTGTGTGACTATCATAAATAAATAAAAATTTTTAAAGAAGATTTATTTATTGATTTGTGCTATAAATAAATATTATTTATCTATTTATTCACAAGAGACACAGAGACAGAGGCAGAGACAGAGACAGAGGCAGAGACATAGGCAGAGGGAGAAACAGGCTCCTCGCAGGGAGCCCGATGCAGAATTCGATCCCAGGATCCTAGGATCAAGACCTGAGACGAAGGGAGATGCCTAACCGAGGGAAGGGAAGGGAAGGGAAGGGAAGGGAAGGGAAGGGAAGGGAAGGGAAGGGAAGGGAAGGGAAGGGAGGGGAGGGGCAGACGGCGAGAGAAATCTAAGCAGACTCCTGGCTGAAGACTCACCCCGCTGTGGGGCTACATCTCACGATCCTGAGGTCAAGACCTGAGCAGAAACCAACAGTTGGACGCAGCCGACTGTGCCATCCAGGTGCCCCCCACTTTGTGTCTTAAACAATGGGCCAGACTCCCAACATTCTGCTCTTGGGAGCATGTTTTCCAGCTTCTTAAATCAGTGCGTGCCAACGCAGCCCCCTGCCCCGCCATGCCACATGCACCTGAGTCTGTTTCCGCGTCTAGTTAGCTCAAATCTCTTTCTGAAGCTCAGTTTTCCCATCTGTTAAGTGGAGATCATAAACCCTGACCCACGTCCTCACATGGTAGATGGGAATAAGGATCCACCCATAACCAAGATGTAAAACAACCAGCCAAGAGTAAGGGTCCCCTTAATTCTGTGAGAGGAGGAAGAGGAAGAAAGCTGAAGATATTGGGCGGTGGTCCTTGGCAGCCTCGATTTCTTCAGGTGAAAAACATGATAGATAACATTTTCCCTTTGGGATTGTGGAAAGACCAAAAGAGAAAACGAAGGGATTAGCTGGCACACAGTGGGTTCTGAACAATGGCAGGCAACTTGTGAAGCCCCGTTCTGGGTTCTGAGTCTCACTTGTATTACAGATCTAATCTAGCGGGACATGGAACTTGCTCTCCAGCACAGAAGCCCTGCTATTTTAGTCCCAGGATCCTGAATACATTCGGGATGAGAGGCTGGGGGCAGGCGCTCTGTGGGCCCACGCATTGTCTTGACCACCACGCGTAACATCCTGGGCTTTCAGGCTTGGATCAACACCAACACGTGTCAAAGAGACGCAGTGCGACAGCTCCACACTTCTTTGTTCATCTCTCTCCAGGAGCATTAAAGCTTTTTTATTATCCCAGCCACAGCTCTTGGAGGCTCTGAGTCACTAACAACTTAAAAAGAAAAAACGAAACCTTGCCTCCTGTGTTCTGGGCACCCTCCTTTTCTCTGTCTGACCGCCAGACGATTGTGGAAACTGCCTTGCAGACTCTCCTCAGAGGTTCAGAAGGTAAAGGTGAGAGAAGGGCGGGTTGCGTATGTTGGTAGTGAGAGCTGAGATCCTGAAAACTATGTTTGCTGCTGCTCCCGTCTCTCTCCCCCAGTCATCAAGTCCTGTAGCAGAACACTCGTCAACCCGTAAGGTACGCGTGCGTTCCAGGAGAGTCTTGTTAAATACTCTGTGGCTCTGCATTTCCAACATGCTCATGGGACCCCAGTGCTGCTGGGGTAGGGCCCACACTTTGAGCAGCAAGGTGCCAAACTGTCCCACCTCAAGTCATTTTTTCAAAATTATTCGTGGCACGCCTGAATAATTGGCGTCAGCGGCTGAGTGTCTCCTTTTCGGCTCAGGGCGTGATGCTGGGATCCAGGAGCAAATCTCACGTTGGGCTCCTTGCAGGGAGCCTGCTTCTCCCTCTGCCTGTGTCTCTGCCTCTCTGTGTGAGTGTGTCTCATGAATAAATAAATACAATTTTAATAAAATAAAATGTTTAAAGATTTTATTTATTTCTTCATGCAAGACACAGAGACATAGGCAGAGGGAGGAGCAGACTCCCTGTGGGGAGCCTGATGTGTGGCACTTGATCTCAGAACCCCAGAATCACAACTTGATCCAAGGGCAGACTTTCAACCACTGAGCCACCCAGGCGCCCCATTTCTTTTTAAGATTTTTATTTGGGGGACGCTTGGGTGGCTCAGCAGTTAAGTGTCTGCCTTCAGCCCAGGACGGGATCCTGGGGTCCCAGGATCGGGTCCTGCATCGGTCTCCCTGCATGAAGCCTGCTTCTCCCTCTGCCTATGTCTCTGCCTCTCTCTCTCTGGGTCTCTCATGAATAAATAAATAAATAAATAAATAAAATCTTAAACAACAAACAAAAATGGCTCAAGGTGAGGGATGCCTAGGTGATCCCATCTGGTTAGGTGTCTGCCTTTGGCTCAGGTCCTGATCCCAGGATCCTGGCAATGAGCCCCGAGTTTGAGCTTCCCACTCAGCAGGGAGTGTTTCTCCCTCTGCCCCTCCCCCTCCATTCATGCGCTCTCTCTCGCGCTCTCTCTCTCTCTCTCTCTTCTCTCTCTCAAATAAAATCTTTTTTTTTTTTTTTAAGCCACTTTTGAAACAAGGTATCTTTCACTAGTCTCTCCCGCCAGGTCTCTTCCACTAGTTATGAAAGGCGGGGTGATGGAAAGAAGCTGATGGAGCCGTGCAAGGGGACAGTGTAGACACTGGCTTGAAGGCAGGGCTGCCACAGGACCAGGCAAAACATATGCAATGGGGCCTGGACTTGAGGGTGCTGTCCTCCTCGGCTGGTGGGGACCCAATGCCCTCTCAGACCCGAGGACCGAGCACAGGAGCCCCTGGAGTCGGCAACCGTGGCACCAACAGATGTTCTCTGGTTGTGCATAGGCTTCCCCAACAGCTGCGTGAGGAGTGGATGGGGCTGAATGGCGGCAGAGAGGAATGGAAGAGCATGAGCGTGGCAGATGCCCCTTGTGACCAAGGACAAGGTCACGTTCACCTCTGTGATCCCGGGCCCACACAGTGACAGGTGCAGAGCAGGTGTTACACCGAAGAATTGGGTGGGTCAAAAATTTCATTTTATGTTATTATTTTATTGAACGATTTATTTATTTGAGAGAGGGAGAGAGGGACAGAGAGCATGAGCAGGAGGGGCAGAGAGAGGAGAGAGAATCTCAAACAGACTCCAAGCTGAGCACGGAGCCTGATGTGGGGCTTGATCCCAGGGCCCTGAGATCGATCAGGACCCAAGCCGAAACCAAGAGCTAGATATTTAACTGACTGCGCCACCGAGGTGCCTCTGAATCAACAAATTTAAAAAGAGGTTTTCAGGGCAGCCCGGTGGCTCAGCGGTTTAGCGCCGCCTTCAGCCCAGGGCCTGATCCTGGAGTCCCGGGATCATCGGATCGAGTCCCACATCCGGCTCCCTGCATGGAGCCTGCCTCTCTCTCTCTCTCTCTCTCTCTCTCTCTCTCTCTCTCTCTCTCTCTCCCCCCATGTCATGAATAAGTAAATAAAATTTAAAAATAAAATAAACGAAAGAAAAATAGGAAAGAAAGGGAGATCCAGAAATAGATCTAAATATATATGAGGACTTTTTGGTATGATAAAGGTGGCATCTGAAAATGATGATTAGATGGGCTCTTCCATATATGATGCAGGAACCACTGGGTAGCCATCCAGAAAAAATAAGGTCAGATTAATACCGGAACGTATATACTAGGACAGATACCAAGTGCGCCAGAGATAGAAATGCAAAAAATCAACAATTCTAAGGACAGTGAGCAGAGAATATGAACACTCAGTTCACAGCAAATAATAGTGGATGTGAAGCACATGGAAAGATGAACAACCTGGCTTATGAAGACACCACTGCATACGATGCAAGAGTTTGATAACCAGACGGTTGGGCAAGGCCGTGGGGAACACGCATTGGATGAGAAAGCTAGCTGTCCTCTTCAAGTCCCTGCCCCTGGCTTATCATTCCCGACTCCCTTGAAGCGATAGTAAGTTGGACACTTGGAAAGGGCCTGACCCTCACACTTGTTGTTGCTCTAACTTTGCAGGCACTTTGGTCTGTGCCCATTGATGTGAGCCGGCTAAGGGAGACCCACATTAACCAAACACACGAGAAGCTGGTGTGTGAACTAGAAGGGGAAATCATTTTTTATTTTTATTTTTTTAAAGATTTTATTTATGGGATCCCTGGGTGGCGCAGCGGTTTTAGCGCCTGCCTTTGGCCCAGGGCGCGATCCTGGAGACCCGGGATCGAGTCCCACATCGGGCTCTTGGTGCATGGAGCCTGCTTCTCCCTCTGCCTGTGTCTCTCTCTCTCTCTGTGACTATCATAAATAAATAAAAAAAAAAGATTTTATTTATTTAATCATGAGAGAGAGAGAGAGAGAGAGAGAGAGAGACAGGCAGAGACACAGGCAGAGGGAGAAGCAGGCTCCATGCAGGGAGCCTGACGTGGGACTCATCCTGGGTGTCCAGGATCACGCCCTGGGCTAAAGTCGGTGCTAAACAGCTGAGCCACCCAGGCTGCCCCGAAATCATTTTTTAAACGATTTAACTCATTTATTTGACACAGAAAAAGAGAGAACACAAGCAGGGGAGTAGCAGAGAGAGAGAGAGAGAGAGAGAGAGAGACCAATGCAGGGCTCAGTCCCAAGACTCCAGGATCATGACCTGAGCCAAAGGCAGACGCTAGAGCGACTGAGCCACCCACGTGCCCCGAGAAATCATTTTTTTAAGTATTGTATTTATTTTTATTTTTTTATTTTTGTTTTTTTTTTTATTATTTATGATAGTCACACAGAATGAGAGAGAGAGAGGCAGAGACACAGGCAGAGGGAGAGGCAGGCTCCATGCACCGGGAGCCCGACGTGGGATTCGATCCCGGGTCTCCAGGATCGCGCCCTGGGCCAAAGGCGAGCGCTAAACCGCTGCGCCACCCAGGGATCCCCTGTATTTATTTATTTTTAAGTAGGCTCCACGTGCGAGTGGGACTTGAACACAGGACCCCGTTCTAGAGCTTACATGCTATGAGGCTAAAAGGCAATAAATAAATGTATAAAATGTCAAGTGACGCCGTGCTGTGGAATACAGGAAAGCCAGGTAAGGGAGAAGCAGGGGCCCTGGGCGGATGACGGAAGATGAAGCACAGGACTCTCTGCCAGCTGTTGATAGTCTCCCTTTCCAGACGAGGAGGGTACAGAGAAAGGACCTGCCTGACATGTTTTGGCCTTGTGTCTGGTTCTCACCAATACACTGTATACGGAACATGGGAACGTGGGCCACCTGGGTGGCTCAGCGGTTGAGCGTCAGTCAGTCTGTGGCCCAGGTGGTGATCCCGGGTCTTGGGATCGAGTGGTGCATGGGGCTCCCGGGAGGGAGCCCGTTCCTCCCCCTGCCTATGTCTCTGCCTCTCTCTCTCTCCCTCGGTCTCTCATAAATAAATATATACATACATACATGAATGAATGAATGAATGAATGAAAGAAAGAAAGAAAGAAAGAAAGAAAGAACGAAAGAAAGAAATCTTAAAAAAAACAAAGAAGCCTGTCTCGTTACTGCTAATAATCATGTCTGATAACTTGTCATCTCATCATCTCCCGGTTTAGAGATCTCAGATGGAAGGGTTGACGGAGGAGGCCAGGTTACTCGCTAGGTCCCACGGGTCCGCAGGGCTTAGCGCCCACGCTCGCCAGCTCCACGCTCCGGGGCACCCCCCCCCGCCCCGCCCCCCGCCCGCGTCCCGTCGGCGGAGGCAGCGGGAAGAGGACCCCAGAGGACCCGTGTGTCAGCATCGGCAATGCTCAGTCTCGTCGTGGGCCTGACTGGGAAGAAGCATTCCTCGGTTGCCGGCGCCCCCGGCTTCCTCGGCCTAGCCTGCCCCTCGCACTCACTCGCCAAGCTGTGTGGTCTCGGGCCAGTTGCCTAACCTCTCTGCCTCCACCGCTTCTTCCGTAGGTAAACTCTGCAAGTTGGACGCCAAGAGAGCACTGAGCGCAAGTCTGGCCCAGACGAGAAGCGTTGGCTACGGTATAGCGCACGCGGCTCACTCGTTTCGGTGTCACAGGCACGACGTCTCCACCGGTACCTCGTGGCACCTAGGACCCACATCCTGGACCACTCAGACCCCAAGGTCAGGTCACGCTCGAGCTACCTCGGCCTTCCCTCAATCCCACTAAGGAAGGAACGTAGGAAGGTGGCCACTTCTGCCCTGGGGAAACGGAGGCCCGGGGGCGGGGGGGGGGGGGAGGAGGGAGGGGTTTAGGTAGATGCCCAAGGAGCCCTCCTGATGGGGTAGGGAGGCCACCCGTTCAGGGCCCGGTCTCGGGTCCCAAGTGGTGTCTGGAGCCCTTGGCAGGTGACGCCAGCCAGCCAGGCGCTTCTGGGCTCCTCCCCACGCCCTGGCCGCAGCCAGCCCGTAGGGTCCCGCAGTGACGACGTGAGGGGACTCCTGGGCCCTGGGACGACTCAGCGCCAGCCCCCGGCGCCAGCCCCACGCCCGGTTCCACGCCCCCCAGGCCGGCCAAAGCGTGAAGCCGAGGGCGCCTGGCCTGCAGCCAGGTTCCGCCGCCCGCCGCGCCTCTAGGGCTCCGCGCGCGGAGGGGCGGGCCATTCAAATTAGGAAGGGCCTTGCGGGGCCGGCGACGACGCGACGACGGACGCGTCGTTTGTCTTTCAAAAGGAAGAGACTTTACAAAGCCGCACGAGAGCCTAGCGGCTAGTGCCGCCCGTGCCACGGTGGGAGAAGCGGGGGGAGCGAGACGTGGCCGGAGCGGGCGCCGAGTCACCGTGAGTGTAAGGTGGAGGTCGTCGGGAGGGCGTGCGCGGGGGCGTGCGCGTCGGCATCGCTTCTCGGCCTTTTGGCTAAGATCAAGTGTAGTATCTGTTCTTATCAGTTTAATATCTGATACGTCCTCTATCCGAGGACAATATATTAAATGGATTTTTGGAGCAGGGAGATGGAATAGGAGCTTGCTCCGTCCACTCCGCGCATCGACCTGGTATTGCAGCACCTCCGGGAACGGTGCACCCCCTCGGGGGAGGCTTTCGGTGACAAAGAGAGATAGTGAGTTGTCCGAAGCAGCGCTTAGGGAGGATCTTTGGTGTTCCCGCGGAGCCTCGGGACTGGGGCGAAGTACAACAAAGAGAACTTAGAGCGATGCTTCAACCGAGCTGACTTCTTGCGTTCTGGCTCTTTTTTTCTCCAATTCTGCTAACCCCAGGCGCAGTTTCACGGCGAGAACAACTGACAGTTGTACTACTGCTTTTCTCTTTCTGGTTTAAGTTGTTCATTTCCCTAAAGCTGTTTTTAAGTTTTATTTTTATCTTTTTTTTCTTAAGCTTCATCTACTTATGAAAATGAGAGAGAGACCGAGAGAGGCACAGACCCACACAGGCACGGGGGAAGCAGGCTCCATGCAGGGAGCCTGACTTGGGACCGGATCTTGGATCCCCAGCATCACGTCCGGGTCCGCAAAGGGCTCTCTGCAGGGAGCTTGCTTCTCCCTCTTCTTCCTCTGCTTAGGTCTCTACCTCTCTCCGTGTTTCTCATGAATAAAGAGAATATTTAAAATCAATAAAATATTTTTATTTATTTTTTTAAAGATTTTATTTATTTATTCATGATAGTCACACAGAGAGAGACAGAGAGGCAGAGACACAGGCAGAGGGAGAAGCAGGCTTCCATGCAGGGAGCCTGACGCGGGATTCAACCCCGGGTCTCCAGGATCGCGCCCCGGGCCAAAGGCAGGCGCCAAACCGCTGCGCCACCCAGGGATCCCGATGAAATATTTTTAAGAAGAATCTCTTATAAAATTTGCCAGCAAGGAAAATACCTCCTCAGCGTGAGGCAGATTTTGTCTCCTGTCTCATGAAGTTTTGTGGGTAGTCTGAATATAATTTAACGAAACAAGTAAATCAAATACATACGAATAGGATAAAAAGTTTTTAGATGAAACTGTTTTTTGTGTACATACAATGGAATGTTTCAGCTCTATTGTTTATTTAAGTAATCTCCACACCCAATGTGGGGCTGGAACCCGCGACTCAGAGATCAAGACTTGCATGCTCTACCAACTAAGCCAGCCAAGCACTCCTAGGTGAATTATTATTATTATTATTTATTTATTTATTTATTTATTTACGACTCTATTTATTTGAGATAGAGTGTGTGTGAGAGAGCATGAGCAGGGGGCGGAGGGAGAGGGAGAATCGGACTCTGCTGGGCAGGGAGCCTGACTCAGGCCTTGATCCCAGGACCCTGGGAAAATGACCTGAGCTGAAGGCGGACGCTCAACCTAACTGACTCAGCCTGAAACCTTAAAGTTTTGCTAAGCTAAGAGATGAGTTACTTTCGTTAGATAGCCGGATCACATCCAAGTAAGATAATAAATGAAACATTGAAACATCGATTACTGAACAAAAAAAGTGGCTTATCCACTTTTTGCTTTTTTTTCTTAAATAGAGGAATTAAATATATTTGGATCTATTAATAAACGTGTTTAGTGCCACAGTAAGAAATTTACAGGAGAAAGCATGTGTTTCTAGAAATTATAAAAGGATAAATCTGCCAAGCCACAAAATGCTAAGATGGTTCACAGTGGCTTGCTTCTTAGTTTTCACTGGAAATTAAAGATTTCTAAGAGTTAAGCATCCTAATATATATAAGTAAAGCTACTAGAGATAATAAGGGAAAGGAACTTTATGTATGGTCAGGACTAAGATGGGAATGGCTTTAATTAAGTAAATGAAAGGTTTGTTTACAAAGGGGATCCCTGGGTGGCGCAGCGGTTTAGCGCCTGCCTTTGGCCCAGGGCGCGACCCTGGAGACCCGGGCTCGAATCCCACGTCGGGCTCCCGGTGCATGGAGCCTGCTTCTCCCTCTCCCTCTGCCTATGTCTGTCTGTCTGTCTGTCTCTCTCTCTCTCTCTGTGTGTGTGTGTGTGACTATCATAAATAAATAAAAATTTTTAAAGAAGATTTATTTTATTGATTTGTGCTATAAATAAATATTATTTATCTATTTATTCACAAGAGACACAGAGACAGAGGCAGAGACAGAGACAGAGGCAGAGACATAGGCAGAGGGAGAAACAGGCTCCTCGCAGGGAGCCCGATGCAGAATTCGATCCCAGGATCCTAGGATCAAGACCTGAGACGAAGGGAGATGCCTAACCGAGGGAAGGGAAGGGAAGGGAAGGGAAGGGAAAGGGAAGGGAAGGGAAGGGAAGGGAAGGGAAGGGAAGGGAGGGGAGGGGCAGACGGCGAGAGAAATCTAAGCAGACTCCTGGCTGAAGACTCACCCCGCTGTGGGGCTACATCTCACGATCCTGAGGTCAAGACCTGAGCAGAAACCAACAGTTGGACGCAGCCGACTGTGCCATCCAGGTGCCCCCCACTTTGTGTCTTAAACAATGGGCCAGACTCCCAACATTCTGCTCTTGGGAGCATGTTTTCCAGCTTCTTAAATCAGTGCGTGCCAACGCAGCCCCCTGCCCCGCCATGCCACATGCACCTGAGTCTGTTTCCGCGTCTAGTTAGCTCAAATCTCTTTCTGAAGCTCAGTTTTCCCATCTGTTAAGTGGAGATCATAAACCCTGACCCACGTCCTCACATGGTAGATGGGAATAAGGATCCACCCATAACCAAGATGTAAAACAACCAGCCAAGAGTAAGGGTCCCCTTAATTCTGTGAGAGGAGGAAGAGGAAGAAAGCTGAAGATATTGGGCGGTGGTCCTTGGCAGCCTCGATTTCTTCAGGTGAAAAACATGATAGATAACATTTTCCCTTTGGGATTGTGGAAAGACCAAAAGAGAAAACGAAGGGATTAGCTGGCACACAGTGGGTTCTGAACAATGGCAGGCAACTTGTGAAGCCCCGTTCTGGGTTCTGAGTCTCACTTGTATTACAGATCTAATCTAGCGGGACATGGAACTTGCTCTCCAGCACAGAAGCCCTGCTATTTTAGTCCCAGGATCCTGAATACATTCGGGATGAGAGGCTGGGGGCAGGCGCTCTGTGGGCCCACGCATTGTCTTGACCACCACGCGTAACATCCTGGGCTTTCAGGCTTGGATCAACACCAACACGTGTCAAAGAGACGCAGTGCGACAGCTCCACACTTCTTTGTTCATCTCTCTCCAGGAGCATTAAAGCTTTTTTATTATCCCAGCCACAGCTCTTGGAGGCTCTGAGTCACTAACAACTTAAAAAGAAAAAACGAAACCTTGCCTCCTGTGTTCTGGGCACCCTCCTTTTCTCTGTCTGACCGCCAGACGATTGTGGAAACTGCCTTGCAGACTCTCCTCAGAGGTTCAGAAGGTAAAGGTGAGAGAAGGGCGGGTTGCGTATGTTGGTAGTGAGAGCTGAGATCCTGAAAACTATGTTTGCTGCTGCTCCCGTCTCTCTCCCCCAGTCATCAAGTCCTGTAGCAGAACACTCGTCAACCCGTAAGGTACGCGTGCGTTCCAGGAGAGTCTTGTTAAATACTCTGTGGCTCTGCATTTCCAACATGCTCATGGGACCCCAGTGCTGCTGGGGTAGGGCCCACACTTTGAGCAGCAAGGTGCCAAACTGTCCCACCTCAAGTCATTTTTTCAAAATTATTCGTGGCACGCCTGAATAATTGGCGTCAGCGGCTGAGTGTCTCCTTTTCGGCTCAGGGCGTGATGCTGGGATCCAGGAGCAAATCTCACGTTGGGCTCCTTGCAGGGAGCCTGCTTCTCCCTCTGCCTGTGTCTCTGCCTCTCTGTGTGAGTGTGTCTCATGAATAAATAAATACAATTTTAATAAAATAAAATGTTTAAAGATTTTATTTATTTCTTCATGCAAGACACAGAGACATAGGCAGAGGGAGGAGCAGACTCCCTGTGGGGAGCCTGATGTGTGGCACTTGATCTCAGAACCCCAGAATCACAACTTGATCCAAGGGCAGACTTTCAACCACTGAGCCACCCAGGCGCCCCATTTCTTTTTAAGATTTTTATTTGGGGGACGCTTGGGTGGCTCAGCAGTTAAGTGTCTGCCTTCAGCCCAGGACGGGATCCTGGGGTCCCAGGATCGGGTCCTGCATCGGTCTCCCTGCATGAAGCCTGCTTCTCCCTCTGCCTATGTCTCTGCCTCTCTCTCTCTGGGTCTCTCATGAATAAATAAATAAATAAATAAAATCTTAAACAACAAACAAAAATGGCTCAAGGTGAGGGATGCCTAGGTGATCCCATCTGGTTAGGTGTCTGCCTTTGGCTCAGGTCCTGATCCCAGGATCCTGGCAATGAGCCCCGAGTTTGAGCTTCCCACTCAGCAGGGAGTGTTTCTCCCTCTGCCCCTCCCCCTCCATTCATGCGCTCTCTCTCGCGCTCTCTCTCTCTCTCTCTCTCTGTCTCTCTCTCAAATAAAATCTTTTTTTTTTTTTTAAGCCACTTTTGAAACAAGGTATCTTTCACTAGTCTCTCCCGCCAGGTCTCTTCCACTAGTTATGAAAGGCGGGGTGATGGAAAGAAGCTGATGGAGCCGTGCAAGGGGACAGTGTAGACACTGGCTTGAAGGCAGGGCTGCCACAGGACCAGGCAAAACATATGCAATGGGGCCTGGACTTGAGGGTGCTGTCCTCCTCGGCTGGTGGGGACCCAATGCCCTCTCAGACCCGAGGACCGAGCACAGGAGCCCCTGGAGTCGGCAACCGTGGCACCAACAGATGTTCTCTGGTTGTGCATAGGCTTCCCCAACAGCTGCGTGAGGAGTGGATGGGGCTGAATGGCGGCAGAGAGGAATGGAAGAGCATGAGCGTGGCAGATGCCCCTTGTGACCAAGGACAAGGTCACGTTCACCTCTGTGATCCCGGGCCCACACAGTGACAGGTGCAGAGCAGGTGTTACACCGAAGAATTGGGTGGGTCAAAAATTTCATTTTATGTTATTATTTTATTGAACGATTTATTTATTTGAGAGAGGGAGAGAGGGACAGAGAGCATGAGCAGGAGGGGCAGAGAGAGGAGAGAGAATCTCAAACAGACTCCAAGCTGAGCACGGAGCCTGATGTGGGGCTTGATCCCAGGGCCCTGAGATCGATCAGGACCCAAGCCGAAACCAAGAGCTAGATATTTAACTGACTGCGCCACCGAGGTGCCTCTGAATCAACAAATTTAAAAAGAGGTTTTCAGGGCAGCCCGGTGGCTCAGCGGTTTAGCGCCGCCTTCAGCCCAGGGCCTGATCCTGGAGTCCCGGGATCATCGGATCGAGTCCCACATCCGGCTCCCTGCATGGAGCCTGCCTCTCTCTCTCTCTCTCTCTCTCTCTCTCTCTCTCTCTCTCTCTCTCTCCCCCCATGTCATGAATAAGTAAATAAAATTTAAAAATAAAATAAACGAAAGAAAAATAGGAAAGAAAGGGAGATCCAGAAATAGATCTAAATATATATGAGGACTTTTTGGTATGATAAAGGTGGCATCTGAAAATGATGATTAGATGGGCTCTTCCATATATGATGCAGGAACCACTGGGTAGCCATCCAGAAAAAATAAGGTCAGATTAATACCGGAACGTATATACTAGGACAGATACCAAGTGCGCCAGAGATAGAAATGCAAAAAATCAACAATTCTAAGGACAGTGAGCAGAGAATATGAACACTCAGTTCACAGCAAATAATAGTGGATGTGAAGCACATGGAAAGATGAACAACCTGGCTTATGAAGACACCACTGCATACGATGCAAGAGTTTGATAACCAGACGGTTGGGCAAGGCCGTGGGAACACGCATTGGATGAGAAAGCTAGCTGTCCTCTTCAAGTCCCTGCCCCTGGCTTATCATTCCCGACTCCCTTGAAGCGATAGTAAGTTGGACACTTGGAAAGGGCCTGACCCTCACACTTGTTGTTGCTCTAACTTTGCAGGCACTTTGGTCTGTGCCCATTGATGTGAGCCGGCTAAGGGAGACCCACATTAACCAAACACACGAGAAGCTGGTGTGTGAACTAGAAGGGGAAATCATTTTTTATTTTTATTTTTTTAAAGATTTTATTTATGGGATCCCTGGGTGGCGCAGCGGTTTAGCGCCTGCCTTTGGCCCAGGGCGCGATCCTGGAGACCCGGGATCGAGTCCCACATCGGGCTCTTGGTGCATGGAGCCTGCTTCTCCCTCTGCCTGTGTCTCTCTCTCTCTCTGTGACTATCATAAATAAATAAAAAAAAAAGATTTTATTTATTTAATCATGAGAGAGAGAGAGAGAGAGAGAGAGAGAGACAGGCAGAGACACAGGCAGAGGGAGAAGCAGGCTCCATGCAGGGAGCCTGACGTGGGACTCATCCTGGTGTCCAGGATCACGCCCTGGGCTAAAGTCGGTGCTAAACAGCTGAGCCACCCAGGCTGCCCCGAAATCATTTTTTAAACGATTTAACTCATTTATTTGACACAGAAAAAGAGAGAACACAAGCAGGGGGAGTAGCAGAGAGAGAGAGAGAGAGAGAGAGAGAGAGACCAATGCAGGGCTCAGTCCCAAGACTCCAGGATCATGACCTGAGCCAAAGGCAGACGCTAGAGCGACTGAGCCACCCACGTGCCCCGAGAAATCATTTTTTTAAGTATTGTATTTATTTTTATTTTTTTATTTTTGTTTTTTTTTTATTATTTATGATAGTCACACAGAATGAGAGAGAGAGAGGCAGAGACACAGGCAGAGGGAGAGGCAGGCTCCATGCACCGGGAGCCCGACGTGGGATTCGATCCCGGGTCTCCAGGATCGCGCCCTGGGCCAAAGGCGAGCGCTAAACCGCTGCGCCACCCAGGGATCCCCTGTATTTATTTATTTTTAAGTAGGCTCCACGTGCGAGTGGGACTTGAACACAGGACCCCGTTCTAGAGCTTACATGCTATGAGGCTAAAAGGCAATAAATAAATGTATAAAATGTCAAGTGACGCCGTGCTGTGGAATACAGGAAAGCCAGGTAAGGGAGAAGCAGGGGCCCTGGGCGGATGACGGAAGATGAAGCACAGGACTCTCTGCCAGCTGTTGATAGTCTCCCTTTCCAGACGAGGAGGGTACAGAGAAAGGACCTGCCTGACATGTTTTGGCCTTGTGTCTGGTTCTCACCAATACACTGTATACGGAACATGGGAACGTGGGCCACCTGGGTGGCTCAGCGGTTGAGCGTCAGTCAGTCTGTGGCCCAGGTGGTGATCCCGGGTCTTGGGATCGAGTGGTGCATGGGGCTCCCGGGAGGGAGCCCGTTCCTCCCCCTGCCTATGTCTCTGCCTCTCTCTCTCTCCCTCGGTCTCTCATAAATAAATATATACATACATACATGAATGAATGAATGAATGAATGAATGAAAGAAAGAAAGAACGAAAGAAAGAAAGAACGAAAGAAAGAAATCTTAAAAAAAACAAAGAAGCCTGTCTCGTTACTGCTAATAATCATGTCTGATAACTTGTCATCTCATCATCTCCCGGTTTAGAGATCTCAGATGGAAGGGTTGACGGAGGAGGCCAGGTTACTCGCTAGGTCCCACGGGTCCGCAGGGCTTAGCGCCCACGCTCGCCAGCTCCACGCTCCGGGGCACCCCCCCCCGCCCCGCCCCCCGCCCGCGTCCCGTCGGCGGAGGCAGCGGGAAGAGGACCCCAGAGGACCCGTGTGTCAGCATCGGCAATGCTCAGTCTCGTCGTGGGCCTGACTGGGAAGAAGCATTCCTCGGTTGCCGGCGCCCCCGGCTTCCTCGGCCTAGCCTGCCCCTCGCACTCACTCGCCAAGCTGTGTGGTCTCGGGCCAGTTGCCTAACCTCTCTGCCTCCACCGCTTCTTCCGTAGGTAAACTCTGCAAGTTGGACGCCAAGAGAGCACTGAGCGCAAGTCTGGCCCAGACGAGAAGCGTTGGCTACGGTATAGCGCACGCGGCTCACTCGTTTCGGTGTCACAGGCACGACGTCTCCACCGGTACCTCGTGGCACCTAGGACCCACATCCTGGACCACTCAGACCCCAAGGTCAGGTCACGCTCGAGCTACCTCGGCCTTCCCTCAATCCCACTAAGGAAGGAACGTAGGAAGGTGGCCACTTCTGCCCTGGGGAAACGGAGGCCCGGGGGCGGGGGGGGGGGGGGAGGAGGGAGGGGTTTAGGTAGATGCCCAAGGAGCCCTCCTGATGGGGTAGGGAGGCCACCCGTTCAGGGCCCGGTCTCGGGTCCCAAGTGGTGTCTGGAGCCCTTGGCAGGTGACGCCAGCCAGCCAGGCGCTTCTGGGCTCCTCCCCACGCCCTGGCCGCAGCCAGCCCGTAGGGTCCCGCAGTGACGACGTGAGGGGACTCCTGGGCCCTGGGACGACTCAGCGCCAGCCCCCGGCGCCAGCCCCACGCCCGGTTCCACGCCCCCCAGGCCGGCCAAAGCGTGAAGCCGAGGGCGCCTGGCCTGCAGCCAGGTTCCGCCGCCCGCCGCGCCTCTAGGGCTCCGCGCGCGGAGGGGCGGGCCATTCAAATTAGGAAGGGCCTTGCGGGGCCGGCGACGACGCGACGACGGACGCGTCGTTTGTCTTTCAAAAGGAAGAGACTTTACAAAGCCGCACGAGAGCCTAGCGGCTAGTGCCGCCCGTGCCACGGTGGGAGAAGCGGGGGAGCGAGACGTGGCCGGAGCGGGCGCCGAGTCACCGTGAGTGTAAGGTGGAGGTCGTCGGGAGGGCGTGCGCGGGGGCGTGCGCGTCGGCATCGCTTCTCGGCCTTTTGGCTAAGATCAAGTGTAGTATCTGTTCTTATCAGTTTAATATCTGATACGTCCTCTATCCGAGGACAATATGTTAAATGGATTTTTGGAGCAGGGAGATGGAATAGGAGCTTGCTCCGTCCACTCCGCGCATCGACCTGGTATTGCAGCACCTCCGGGAACGGTGCACCCCCTCGGGGGAGGCTTTCGGTGACAAAGAGACATAGTGAGTTGTCCGAAGCAGCGCTTAGGGAGGATCTTTGGTGTTCCCGCGGAGCCTCGGGACTGGGGCGAAGTACAACAAAGAGAACTTAGAGCGATGCTTCAACCGAGCTGACTTCTTGCGTTCTGGCTCTTTTTTTCTCCAATTCTGCTAACCCCAGGCGCAGTTTCACGGCGAGAACAACTGACAGTTGTACTACTGCTTTTCTCTTTCTGGTTTAAGTTGTTCATTTCCCTAAAGCTGTTTTTAAGTTTTATTTTTATCTTTTTTTTCTTAAGCTTCATCTACTTATGAAAATGAGAGAGAGACCGAGAGAGGCACAGACCCACACAGGCACGGGGGAAGCAGGCTCCATGCAGGGAGCCTGACTTGGGACCGGATCTTGGATCCCCAGCATCACGTCCGGGTCCGCAAAGGGCTCTCTGCAGGGAGCTTGCTTCTCCCTCTTCTTCCTCTGCTTAGGTCTCTACCTCTCTCCGTGTTTCTCATGAATAAAGAGAATATTTAAAATCAATAAAATATTTTTATTTATTTTTTTAAAGATTTTATTTATTTATTCATGATAGTCACACAGAGAGAGACAGAGAGGCAGAGACACAGGCAGAGGGAGAAGCAGGCTTCCATGCAGGGAGCCTGACGCGGGATTCAACCCCGGGTCTCCAGGATCGCGCCCCGGGCCAAAGGCAGGCGCCAAACCGCTGCGCCACCCAGGGATCCCGATGAAATATTTTTAAGAAGAATCTCTTATAAAATTTGCCAGCAAGGAAAATACCTCCTCAGCGTGAGGCAGATTTTGTCTCCTGTCTCATGAAGTTTTGTGGGTAGTCTGAATATAATTTAACGAAACAAGTAAATCAAATACATACGAATAGGATAAAAAGTTTTTAGATGAAACTGTTTTTTGTGTACATACAATGGAATGTTTCAGCTCTATTGTTTATTTAAGTAATCTCCACACCCAATGTGGGGCTGGAACCCGCGACTCAGAGATCAAGACTTGCATGCTCTACCAACTAAGCCAGCCAAGCACTCCTAGGTGAATTATTATTATTATTATTTATTTATTTATTTATTTATTTACGACTCTATTTATTTGAGATAGAGTGTGTGTGAGAGAGCATGAGCAGGGGGCGGAGGGAGAGGGAGAATCGGACTCTGCTGGGCAGGGAGCCTGACTCAGGCCTTGATCCCAGGACCCTGGGAAAATGACCTGAGCTGAAGGCGGACGCTCAACCTAACTGACTCAGCCTGAAACCTTAAAGTTTTGCTAAGCTAAGAGATGAGTTACTTTCGTTAGATAGCCGGATCACATCCAAGTAAGATAATAAATGAAACATTGAAACATCGATTACTGAACAAAAAAAGTGGCTTATCCACTTTTTGCTTTTTTTTCTTAAATAGAGGAATTAAATATATTTGGATCTATTAATAAACGTGTTTAGTGCCACAGTAAGAAATTTACAGGAGAAAGCATGTGTTTCTAGAAATTATAAAAGGATAAATCTGCCAAGCCACAAAATGCTAAGATGGTTCACAGTGGCTTGCTTCTTAGTTTTCACTGGAAATTAAAGATTTCTAAGAGTTAAGCATCCTAATATATATAAGTAAAGCTACTAGAGATAATAAGGGAAAGGAACTTTATGTATGGTCAGGACTAAGATGGGAATGGCTTTAATTAAGTAAATGAAAGGTTTGTTTACAAAGGGGATCCCTGGGTGGCGCAGCGGTTTAGCGCCTGCCTTTGGCCCAGGGCGCGACCCTGGAGACCCGGGCTCGAATCCCACGTCGGGCTCCCGGTGCATGGAGCCTGCTTCTCCCTCTCCCTCTGCCTATGTCTGTCTGTCTGTCTGTCTCTCTCTCTCTCTCTGTGTGTGTGTGTGTGACTATCATAAATAAATAAAAATTTTTAAAGAAGATTTATTTATTGATTTGTGCTATAAATAAATATTATTTATCTATTTATTCACAAGAGACACAGAGACAGAGGCAGAGACAGAGACAGAGGCAGAGACATAGGCAGAGGAGAAACAGGCTCCTCGCAGGGAGCCCGATGCAGAATTCGATCCCAGGATCCTAGGATCAAGACCTGAGACGAAGGGAGATGCCTAACCGAGGGAAGGGAAGGGAAGGGAAGGGAAGGGAAGGGAAGGGAAGGGAAGGGAAGGGAAGGGAAGGGAAGGGAAGGGAGGGGAGGGGCAGACGGCGAGAGAAATCTAAGCAGACTCCTGGCTGAAGACTCACCCCGCTGTGGGGCTACATCTCACGATCCTGAGGTCAAGACCTGAGCAGAAACCAACAGTTGGACGCAGCCGACTGTGCCATCCAGGTGCCCCCCACTTTGTGTCTTAAACAATGGGCCAGACTCCCAACATTCTGCTCTTGGGAGCATGTTTTCCAGCTTCTTAAATCAGTGCGTGCCAACGCAGCCCCCTGCCCCGCCATGCCACATGCACCTGAGTCTGTTTCCGCGTCTAGTTAGCTCAAATCTCTTTCTGAAGCTCAGTTTTCCCATCTGTTAAGTGGAGATCATAAACCCTGACCCACGTCCTCACATGGTAGATGGGAATAAGGATCCACCCATAACCAAGATGTAAAACAACCAGCCAAGAGTAAGGGTCCCCTTAATTCTGTGAGAGGAGGAAGAGGAAGAAAGCTGAAGATATTGGGCGGTGGTCCTTGGCAGCCTCGATTTCTTCAGGTGAAAAACATGATAGATAACATTTTCCCTTTGGGATTGTGGAAAGACCAAAAGAGAAAACGAAGGGATTAGCTGGCACACAGTGGGTTCTGAACAATGGCAGGCAACTTGTGAAGCCCCGTTCTGGGTTCTGAGTCTCACTTGTATTACAGATCTAATCTAGCGGGACATGGAACTTGCTCTCCAGCACAGAAGCCCTGCTATTTTAGTCCCAGGATCCTGAATACATTCGGGATGAGAGGCTGGGGGCAGGCGCTCTGTGGGCCCACGCATTGTCTTGACCACCACGCGTAACATCCTGGGCTTTCAGGCTTGGATCAACACCAACACGTGTCAAAGAGACGCAGTGCGACAGCTCCACACTTCTTTGTTCATCTCTCTCCAGGAGCATTAAAGCTTTTTTATTATCCCAGCCACAGCTCTTGGAGGCTCTGAGTCACTAACAACTTAAAAAGAAAAAACGAAACCTTGCCTCCTGTGTTCTGGGCACCCTCCTTTTCTCTGTCTGACCGCCAGACGATTGTGGAAACTGCCTTGCAGACTCTCCTCAGAGGTTCAGAAGGTAAAGGTGAGAGAAGGGCGGGTTGCGTATGTTGGTAGTGAGAGCTGAGATCCTGAAAACTATGTTTGCTGCTGCTCCCGTCTCTCTCCCCCAGTCATCAAGTCCTGTAGCAGAACACTCGTCAACCCGTAAGGTACGCGTGCGTTCCAGGAGAGTCTTGTTAAATACTCTGTGGCTCTGCATTTCCAACATGCTCATGGGACCCCAGTGCTGCTGGGGTAGGGCCCACACTTTGAGCAGCAAGGTGCCAAACTGTCCCACCTCAAGTCATTTTTTCAAAATTATTCGTGGCACGCCTGAATAATTGGCGTCAGCGGCTGAGTGTCTCCTTTTCGGCTCAGGGCGTGATGCTGGGATCCAGGAGCAAATCTCACGTTGGGCTCCTTGCAGGGAGCCTGCTTCTCCCTCTGCCTGTGTCTCTGCCTCTCTGTGTGAGTGTGTCTCATGAATAAATAAATACAATTTTAATAAAATAAAATGTTTAAAGATTTTATTTATTTCTTCATGCAAGACACAGAGACATAGGCAGAGGGAGGAGCAGACTCCCTGTGGGGAGCCTGATGTGTGGCACTTGATCTCAGAACCCCAGAATCACAACTTGATCCAAGGGCAGACTTTCAACCACTGAGCCACCCAGGCGCCCCATTTCTTTTTAAGATTTTTATTTGGGGGACGCTTGGGTGGCTCAGCAGTTAAGTGTCTGCCTTCAGCCCAGGACGGGATCCTGGGGTCCCAGGATCGGGTCCTGCATCGGTCTCCCTGCATGAAGCCTGCTTCTCCCTCTGCCTATGTCTCTGCCTCTCTCTCTCTGGGTCTCTCATGAATAAATAAATAAATAAATAAATAAAATCTTAAACAACAAACAAAAATGGCTCAAGGTGAGGGATGCCTAGGTGATCCCATCTGGTTAGGTGTCTGCCTTTGGCTCAGGTCCTGATCCCAGGATCCTGGCAATGAGCCCCGAGTTTGAGCTTCCCACTCAGCAGGGAGTGTTTCTCCCTCTGCCCCTCCCCCTCCATTCATGCGCTCTCTCTCGCGCTCTCTCTCTCTCTCTCTCTCTGTCTCTCTCTCAAATAAAATCTTTTTTTTTTTTTTAAGCCACTTTTGAAACAAGGTATCTTTCACTAGTCTCTCCCGCCAGGTCTCTTCCACTAGTTATGAAAGGCGGGGTGATGGAAAGAAGCTGATGGAGCCGTGCAAGGGGACAGTGTAGACACTGGCTTGAAGGCAGGGCTGCCACAGGACCAGGCAAAACATATGCAATGGGGCCTGGACTTGAGGGTGCTGTCCTCCTCGGCTGGTGGGGACCCAATGCCCTCTCAGACCCGAGGACCGAGCACAGGAGCCCCTGGAGTCGGCAACCGTGGCACCAACAGATGTTCTCTGGTTGTGCATAGGCTTCCCCAACAGCTGCGTGAGGAGTGGATGGGGCTGAATGGCGGCAGAGAGGAATGGAAGAGCATGAGCGTGGCAGATGCCCCTTGTGACCAAGGACAAGGTCACGTTCACCTCTGTGATCCCGGGCCCACACAGTGACAGGTGCAGAGCAGGTGTTACACCGAAGAATTGGGTGGGTCAAAAATTTCATTTTATGTTATTATTTTATTGAACGATTTATTTATTTGAGAGAGGGAGAGAGGGACAGAGAGCATGAGCAGGAGGGGCAGAGAGAGGAGAGAGAATCTCAAACAGACTCCAAGCTGAGCACGGAGCCTGATGTGGGGCTTGATCCCAGGGCCCTGAGATCGATCAGGACCCAAGCCGAAACCAAGAGCTAGATATTTAACTGACTGCGCCACCGAGGTGCCTCTGAATCAACAAATTTAAAAAGAGGTTTTCAGGGCAGCCCGGTGGCTCAGCGGTTTAGCGCCGCCTTCAGCCCAGGGCCTGATCCTGGAGTCCCGGGATCATCGGATCGAGTCCCACATCCGGCTCCCTGCATGGAGCCTGCCTCTCTCTCTCTCTCTCTCTCTCTCTCTCTCTCTCTCTCTCTCTCTCCCCCCATGTCATGAATAAGTAAATAAAATTTAAAAATAAAATAAACGAAAGAAAAATAGGAAAGAAAGGGAGATCCAGAAATAGATCTAAATATATATGAGGACTTTTTGGTATGATAAAGGTGGCATCTGAAAATGATGATTAGATGGGCTCTTCCATATATGATGCAGGAACCACTGGGTAGCCATCCAGAAAAAATAAGGTCAGATTAATACCGGAACGTATATACTAGGACAGATACCAAGTGCGCCAGAGATAGAAATGCAAAAAATCAACAATTCTAAGGACAGTGAGCAGAGAATATGAACACTCAGTTCACAGCAAATAATAGTGGATGTGAAGCACATGGAAAGATGAACAACCTGGCTTATGAAGACACCACTGCATACGATGCAAGAGTTTGATAACCAGACGGTTGGGCAAGGCCGTGGGGAACACGCATTGGATGAGAAAGCTAGCTGTCCTCTTCAAGTCCCTGCCCCTGGCTTATCATTCCCGACTCCCTTGAAGCGATAGTAAGTTGGACACTTGGAAAGGGCCTGACCCTCACACTTGTTGTTGCTCTAACTTTGCAGGCACTTTGGTCTGTGCCCATTGATGTGAGCCGGCTAAGGGAGACCCACATTAACCAAACACACGAGAAGCTGGTGTGTGAACTAGAAGGGGAAATCATTTTTTATTTTTATTTTTTTAAAGATTTTATTTATGGGATCCCTGGGTGGCGCAGCGGTTTAGCGCCTGCCTTTGGCCCAGGGCGCGATCCTGGAGACCCGGGATCGAGTCCCACATCGGGCTCTTGGTGCATGGAGCCTGCTTCTCCCTCTGCCTGTGTCTCTCTCTCTCTCTGTGACTATCATAAATAAATAAAAAAAAAAGATTTTATTTATTTAATCATGAGAGAGAGAGAGAGAGAGAGAGAGAGAGAGACAGGCAGAGACACAGGCAGAGGGAGAAGCAGGCTCCATGCAGGGAGCCTGACGTGGGACTCATCCTGGGTGTCCAGGATCACGCCCTGGGCTAAAGTCGGTGCTAAACAGCTGAGCCACCCAGGCTGCCCCGAAATCATTTTTTAAACGATTTAACTCATTTATTTGACACAGAAAAAGAGAGAACACAAGCAGGGGGAGTAGCAGAGAGAGAGAGAGAGAGAGAGAGAGAGAGACCAATGCAGGGCTCAGTCCCAAGACTCCAGGATCATGACCTGAGCCAAAGGCAGACGCTAGAGCGACTGAGCCACCCACGTGCCCCGAGAAATCATTTTTTTAAGTATTGTATTTATTTTTATTTTTTTATTTTTGTTTTTTTTTTATTATTTATGATAGTCACACAGAATGAGAGAGAGAGAGGCAGAGACACAGGCAGAGGGAGAGGCAGGCTCCATGCACCGGGAGCCCGACGTGGGATTCGATCCCGGGTCTCCAGGATCGCGCCCTGGGCCAAAGGCGAGCGCTAAACCGCTGCGCCACCCAGGGATCCCCTGTATTTATTTATTTTTAAGTAGGCTCCACGTGCGAGTGGGACTTGAACACAGGACCCCGTTCTAGAGCTTACATGCTATGAGGCTAAAAGGCAATAAATAAATGTATAAAATGTCAAGTGACGCCGTGCTGTGGAATACAGGAAAGCCAGGTAAGGGAGAAGCAGGGGCCCTGGGCGGATGACGGAAGATGAAGCACAGGACTCTCTGCCAGCTGTTGATAGTCTCCCTTTCCAGACGAGGAGGGTACAGAGAAAGGACCTGCCTGACATGTTTTGGCCTTGTGTCTGGTTCTCACCAATACACTGTATACGGAACATGGAACGTGGGCCACCTGGGTGGCTCAGCGGTTGAGCGTCAGTCAGTCTGTGGCCCAGGTGGTGATCCCGGGTCTTGGGATCGAGTGGTGCATGGGGCTCCCGGGAGGGAGCCCGTTCCTCCCCCTGCCTATGTCTCTGCCTCTCTCTCTCTCCCTCGGTCTCTCATAAATAAATATATACATACATACATGAATGAATGAATGAATGAATGAAAGAAAGAAAGAAAGAACGAAAGAAAGAAAGAACGAAAGAAAGAAATCTTAAAAAAAACAAAGAAGCCTGTCTCGTTACTGCTAATAATCATGTCTGATAACTTGTCATCTCATCATCTCCCGGTTTAGAGATCTCAGATGGAAGGGTTGACGGAGGAGGCCAGGTTACTCGCTAGGTCCCACGGGTCCGCAGGGCTTAGCGCCCACGCTCGCCAGCTCCACGCTCCGGGGCACCCCCCCCCGCCCCGCCCCCCGCCCGCGTCCCGTCGGCGGAGGCAGCGGGAAGAGGACCCCAGAGGACCCGTGTGTCAGCATCGGCAATGCTCAGTCTCGTCGTGGGCCTGACTGGGAAGAAGCATTCCTCGGTTGCCGGCGCCCCCGGCTTCCTCGGCCTAGCCTGCCCCTCGCACTCACTCGCCAAGCTGTGTGGTCTCGGGCCAGTTGCCTAACCTCTCTGCCTCCACCGCTTCTTCCGTAGGTAAACTCTGCAAGTTGGACGCCAAGAGAGCACTGAGCGCAAGTCTGGCCCAGACGAGAAGCGTTGGCTACGGTATAGCGCACGCGGCTCACTCGTTTCGGTGTCACAGGCACGACGTCTCCACCGGTACCTCGTGGCACCTAGGACCCACATCCTGGACCACTCAGACCCCAAGGTCAGGTCACGCTCGAGCTACCTCGGCCTTCCCTCAATCCCACTAAGGAAGGAACGTAGGAAGGTGGCCACTTCTGCCCTGGGGAAACGGAGGCCCGGGGGCGGGGGGGGGGGGGGAGGAGGGAGGGGTTTAGGTAGATGCCCAAGGAGCCCTCCTGATGGGGTAGGGAGGCCACCCGTTCAGGGCCCGGTCTCGGGTCCCAAGTGGTGTCTGGAGCCCTTGGCAGGTGACGCCAGCCAGCCAGGCGCTTCTGGGCTCCTCCCCACGCCCTGGCCGCAGCCAGCCCGTAGGGTCCCGCAGTGACGACGTGAGGGGACTCCTGGGCCCTGGGACGACTCAGCGCCAGCCCCCGGCGCCAGCCCCACGCCCGGTTCCACGCCCCCCAGGCCGGCCAAAGCGTGAAGCCGAGGGCGCCTGGCCTGCAGCCAGGTTCCGCCGCCCGCCGCGCCTCTAGGGCTCCGCGCGCGGAGGGGCGGGCCATTCAAATTAGGAAGGGCCTTGCGGGGCCGGCGACGACGCGACGACGGACGCGTCGTTTGTCTTTCAAAAGGAAGAGACTTTACAAAGCCGCACGAGAGCCTAGCGGCTAGTGCCGCCCGTGCCACGGTGGGAGAAGCGGGGGGAGCGAGACGTGGCCGGAGCGGGCGCCGAGTCACCGTGAGTGTAAGGTGGAGGTCGTCGGGAGGGCGTGCGCGGGGGCGTGCGCGTCGGCATCGCTTCTCGGCCTTTTGGCTAAGATCAAGTGTAGTATCTGTTCTTATCAGTTTAATATCTGATACGTCCTCTATCCGAGGACAATATGTTAAATGGATTTTTGGAGCAGGGAGATGGAATAGGAGCTTGCTCCGTCCACTCCGCGCATCGACCTGGTATTGCAGCACCTCCGGGAACGGTGCACCCCCTCGGGGGAGGCTTTCGGTGACAAAGAGAGATAGTGAGTTGTCCGAAGCAGCGCTTAGGGAGGATCTTTGGTGTTCCCGCGGAGCCTCGGGACTGGGGCGAAGTACAACAAAGAGAACTTAGAGCGATGCTTCAACCGAGCTGACTTCTTGCGTTCTGGCTCTTTTTTTCTCCAATTCTGCTAACCCCAGGCGCAGTTTCACGGCGAGAACAACTGACAGTTGTACTACTGCTTTTCTCTTTCTGGTTTAAGTTGTTCATTTCCCTAAAGCTGTTTTTAAGTTTTATTTTTATCTTTTTTTTTCTTAAGCTTCATCTACTTATGAAAATGAGAGAGAGACCGAGAGAGGCACAGACCCACACAGGCACGGGGGAAGCAGGCTCCATGCAGGGAGCCTGACTTGGGACCGGATCTTGGATCCCCAGCATCACGTCCGGGTCCGCAAAGGGCTCTCTGCAGGGAGCTTGCTTCTCCCTCTTCTTCCTCTGCTTAGGTCTCTACCTCTCTCCGTGTTTCTCATGAATAAAGAGAATATTTAAAATCAATAAAATATTTTTATTTATTTTTTTAAAGATTTTATTTATTTATTCATGATAGTCACACAGAGAGAGACAGAGAGGCAGAGACACAGGCAGAGGGAGAAGCAGGCTTCCATGCAGGGAGCCTGACGCGGGATTCAACCCCGGGTCTCCAGGATCGCGCCCCGGGCCAAAGGCAGGCGCCAAACCGCTGCGCCACCCAGGGATCCCGATGAAATATTTTTAAGAAGAATCTCTTATAAAATTTGCCAGCAAGGAAAATACCTCCTCAGCGTGAGGCAGATTTTGTCTCCTGTCTCATGAAGTTTTGTGGGTAGTCTGAATATAATTTAACGAAACAAGTAAATCAAATACATACGAATAGGATAAAAAGTTTTTAGATGAAACTGTTTTTTGTGTACATACAATGGAATGTTTCAGCTCTATTGTTTATTTAAGTAATCTCCACACCCAATGTGGGGCTGGAACCCGCGACTCAGAGATCAAGACTTGCATGCTCTACCAACTAAGCCAGCCAAGCACTCCTAGGTGAATTATTATTATTATTATTTATTTATTTATTTATTTATTTACGACTCTATTTATTTGAGATAGAGTGTGTGTGAGAGAGCATGAGCAGGGGGCGGAGGGAGAGGGAGAATCGGACTCTGCTGGGCAGGGAGCCTGACTCAGGCCTTGATCCCAGGACCCTGGGAAAATGACCTGAGCTGAAGGCGGACGCTCAACCTAACTGACTCAGCCTGAAACCTTAAAGTTTTGCTAAGCTAAGAGATGAGTTACTTTCGTTAGATAGCCGGATCACATCCAAGTAAGATAATAAATGAAACATTGAAACATCGATTACTGAACAAAAAAAGTGGCTTATCCACTTTTTGCTTTTTTTTCTTAAATAGAGGAATTAAATATATTTGGATCTATTAATAAACGTGTTTAGTGCCACAGTAAGAAATTTACAGGAGAAAGCATGTGTTTCTAGAAATTATAAAAGGATAAATCTGCCAAGCCACAAAATGCTAAGATGGTTCACAGTGGCTTGCTTCTTAGTTTTCACTGGAAATTAAAGATTTCTAAGAGTTAAGCATCCTAATATATATAAGTAAAGCTACTAGAGATAATAAGGGAAAGGAACTTTATGTATGGTCAGGACTAAGATGGGAATGGCTTTAATTAAGTAAATGAAAGGTTTGTTTACAAAGGGGATCCCTGGGTGGCGCAGCGGTTTAGCGCCTGCCTTTGGCCCAGGGCGCGACCCTGGAGACCCGGGCTCGAATCCCACGTCGGGCTCCCGGTGCATGGAGCCTGCTTCTCCCTCTCCCTCTGCCTATGTCTGTCTGTCTGTCTGTCTCTCTCTCTCTCTCTGTGTGTGTGTGTGTGTGACTATCATAAATAAATAAAAATTTTTAAAGAAGATTTATTTATTGATTTGTGCTATAAATAAATATTATTTATCTATTTATTCACAAGAGACACAGAGACAGAGGCAGAGACAGAGACAGAGGCAGAGACATAGGCAGAGGGAGAAACAGGCTCCTCGCAGGGAGCCCGATGCAGAATTCGATCCCAGGATCCTAGGATCAAGACCTGAGACGAAGGGAGATGCCTAACCGAGGGAAGGGAAGGGAAGGGAAGGGAAGGGAAGGGAAGGGAAGGGAAGGGAAGGGAAGGGAAGGGAAGGGAAGGGAGGGGAGGGGCAGACGGCGAGAGAAATCTAAGCAGACTCCTGGCTGAAGACTCACCCCGCTGTGGGGCTACATCTCACGATCCTGAGGTCAAGACCTGAGCAGAAACCAACAGTTGGACGCAGCCGACTGTGCCATCCAGGTGCCCCCCACTTTGTGTCTTAAACAATGGGCCAGACTCCCAACATTCTGCTCTTGGGAGCATGTTTTCCAGCTTCTTAAATCAGTGCGTGCCAACGCAGCCCCCTGCCCCGCCATGCCACATGCACCTGAGTCTGTTTCCGCGTCTAGTTAGCTCAAATCTCTTTCTGAAGCTCAGTTTTCCCATCTGTTAAGTGGAGATCATAAACCCTGACCCACGTCCTCACATGGTAGATGGGAATAAGGATCCACCCATAACCAAGATGTAAAACAACCAGCCAAGAGTAAGGGTCCCCTTAATTCTGTGAGAGGAGGAAGAGGAAGAAAGCTGAAGATATTGGGCGGTGGTCCTTGGCAGCCTCGATTTCTTCAGGTGAAAAACATGATAGATAACATTTTCCCTTTGGGATTGTGGAAAGACCAAAAGAGAAAACGAAGGGATTAGCTGGCACACAGTGGGTTCTGAACAATGGCAGGCAACTTGTGAAGCCCCGTTCTGGGTTCTGAGTCTCACTTGTATTACAGATCTAATCTAGCGGGACATGGAACTTGCTCTCCAGCACAGAAGCCCTGCTATTTTAGTCCCAGGATCCTGAATACATTCGGGATGAGAGGCTGGGGGCAGGCGCTCTGTGGGCCCACGCATTGTCTTGACCACCACGCGTAACATCCTGGGCTTTCAGGCTTGGATCAACACCAACACGTGTCAAAGAGACGCAGTGCGACAGCTCCACACTTCTTTGTTCATCTCTCTCCAGGAGCATTAAAGCTTTTTTATTATCCCAGCCACAGCTCTTGGAGGCTCTGAGTCACTAACAACTTAAAAAGAAAAAACGAAACCTTGCCTCCTGTGTTCTGGGCACCCTCCTTTTCTCTGTCTGACCGCCAGACGATTGTGGAAACTGCCTTGCAGACTCTCCTCAGAGGTTCAGAAGGTAAAGGTGAGAGAAGGGCGGGTTGCGTATGTTGGTAGTGAGAGCTGAGATCCTGAAAACTATGTTTGCTGCTGCTCCCGTCTCTCTCCCCCAGTCATCAAGTCCTGTAGCAGAACACTCGTCAACCCGTAAGGTACGCGTGCGTTCCAGGAGAGTCTTGTTAAATACTCTGTGGCTCTGCATTTCCAACATGCTCATGGGACCCCAGTGCTGCTGGGGTAGGGCCCACACTTTGAGCAGCAAGGTGCCAAACTGTCCCACCTCAAGTCATTTTTTCAAAATTATTCGTGGCACGCCTGAATAATTGGCGTCAGCGGCTGAGTGTCTCCTTTTCGGCTCAGGGCGTGATGCTGGGATCCAGGAGCAAATCTCACGTTGGGCTCCTTGCAGGGAGCCTGCTTCTCCCTCTGCCTGTGTCTCTGCCTCTCTGTGTGAGTGTGTCTCATGAATAAATAAATACAATTTTAATAAAATAAAATGTTTAAAGATTTTATTTATTTCTTCATGCAAGACACAGAGACATAGGCAGAGGGAGGAGCAGACTCCCTGTGGGGAGCCTGATGTGTGGCACTTGATCTCAGAACCCCAGAATCACAACTTGATCCAAGGGCAGACTTTCAACCACTGAGCCACCCAGGCGCCCCATTTCTTTTTAAGATTTTTATTTGGGGGACGCTTGGGTGGCTCAGCAGTTAAGTGTCTGCCTTCAGCCCAGGACGGGATCCTGGGGTCCCAGGATCGGGTCCTGCATCGGTCTCCCTGCATGAAGCCTGCTTCTCCCTCTGCCTATGTCTCTGCCTCTCTCTCTCTGGGTCTCTCATGAATAAATAAATAAATAAATAAATAAAATCTTAAACAACAAACAAAAATGGCTCAAGGTGAGGGATGCCTAGGTGATCCCATCTGGTTAGGTGTCTGCCTTTGGCTCAGGTCCTGATCCCAGGATCCTGGCAATGAGCCCCGAGTTTGAGCTTCCCACTCAGCAGGGAGTGTTTCTCCCTCTGCCCCTCCCCCTCCATTCATGCGCTCTCTCTCGCGCTCTCTCTCTCTCTCTCTCTCTGTCTCTCTCTCAAATAAAATCTTTTTTTTTTTTTTAAGCCACTTTTGAAACAAGGTATCTTTCACTAGTCTCTCCCGCCAGGTCTCTTCCACTAGTTATGAAAGGCGGGGTGATGGAAAGAAGCTGATGGAGCCGTGCAAGGGGACAGTGTAGACACTGGCTTGAAGGCAGGGCTGCCACAGGACCAGGCAAAACATATGCAATGGGGCCTGGACTTGAGGGTGCTGTCCTCCTCGGCTGGTGGGGACCCAATGCCCTCTCAGACCCGAGGACCGAGCACAGGAGCCCCTGGAGTCGGCAACCGTGGCACCAACAGATGTTCTCTGGTTGTGCATAGGCTTCCCCAACAGCTGCGTGAGGAGTGGATGGGGCTGAATGGCGGCAGAGAGGAATGGAAGAGCATGAGCGTGGCAGATGCCCCTTGTGACCAAGGACAAGGTCACGTTCACCTCTGTGATCCCGGGCCCACACAGTGACAGGTGCAGAGCAGGTGTTACACCGAAGAATTGGGTGGGTCAAAAATTTCATTTTATGTTATTATTTTATTGAACGATTTATTTATTTGAGAGAGGGAGAGAGGGACAGAGAGCATGAGCAGGAGGGGCAGAGAGAGGAGAGAGAATCTCAAACAGACTCCAAGCTGAGCACGGAGCCTGATGTGGGGCTTGATCCCAGGGCCCTGAGATCGATCAGGACCCAAGCCGAAACCAAGAGCTAGATATTTAACTGACTGCGCCACCGAGGTGCCTCTGAATCAACAAATTTAAAAAGAGGTTTTCAGGGCAGCCCGGTGGCTCAGCGGTTTAGCGCCGCCTTCAGCCCAGGGCCTGATCCTGGAGTCCCGGGATCATCGGATCGAGTCCCACATCCGGCTCCCTGCATGGAGCCTGCCTCTCTCTCTCTCTCTCTCTCTCTCTCTCTCTCTCTCTCTCTCTCTCCCCCCATGTCATGAATAAGTAAATAAAATTTAAAAATAAAATAAACGAAAGAAAAATAGGAAAGAAAGGGAGATCCAGAAATAGATCTAAATATATATGAGGACTTTTTGGTATGATAAAGGTGGCATCTGAAAATGATGATTAGATGGGCTCTTCCATATATGATGCAGGAACCACTGGGTAGCCATCCAGAAAAAATAAGGTCAGATTAATACCGGAACGTATATACTAGGACAGATACCAAGTGCGCCAGAGATAGAAATGCAAAAAATCAACAATTCTAAGGACAGTGAGCAGAGAATATGAACACTCAGTTCACAGCAAATAATAGTGGATGTGAAGCACATGGAAAGATGAACAACCTGGCTTATGAAGACACCACTGCATACGATGCAAGAGTTTGATAACCAGACGGTTGGGCAAGGCCGTGGGGAACACGCATTGGATGAGAAAGCTAGCTGTCCTCTTCAAGTCCCTGCCCCTGGCTTATCATTCCCGACTCCCTTGAAGCGATAGTAAGTTGGACACTTGGAAAGGGCCTGACCCTCACACTTGTTGTTGCTCTAACTTTGCAGGCACTTTGGTCTGTGCCCATTGATGTGAGCCGGCTAAGGGAGACCCACATTAACCAAACACACGAGAAGCTGGTGTGTGAACTAGAAGGGGAAATCATTTTTTATTTTTATTTTTTTAAAGATTTTATTTATGGGATCCCTGGGTGGCGCAGCGGTTTAGCGCCTGCCTTTGGCCCAGGGCGCGATCCTGGAGACCCGGGATCGAGTCCCACATCGGGCTCTTGGTGCATGGAGCCTGCTTCTCCCTCTGCCTGTGTCTCTCTCTCTCTCTGTGACTATCATAAATAAATAAAAAAAAAAGATTTTATTTATTTAATCATGAGAGAGAGAGAGAGAGAGAGAGAGAGAGAGACAGGCAGAGACACAGGCAGAGGGAGAAGCAGGCTCCATGCAGGGAGCCTGACGTGGGACTCATCCTGGGTGTCCAGGATCACGCCCTGGGCTAAAGTCGGTGCTAAACAGCTGAGCCACCCAGGCTGCCCCGAAATCATTTTTTAAACGATTTAACTCATTTATTTGACACAGAAAAAGAGAGAACACAAGCAGGGGGAGTAGCAGAGAGAGAGAGAGAGAGAGAGAGAGAGACCAATGCAGGGCTCAGTCCCAAGACTCCAGGATCATGACCTGAGCCAAAGGCAGACGCTAGAGCGACTGAGCCACCCACGTGCCCCGAGAAATCATTTTTTTAAGTATTGTATTTATTTTTATTTTTTTATTTTTGTTTTTTTTTTTATTATTTATGATAGTCACACAGAATGAGAGAGAGAGAGGCAGAGACACAGGCAGAGGGAGAGGCAGGCTCCATGCACCGGGAGCCCGACGTGGGATTCGATCCCGGGTCTCCAGGATCGCGCCCTGGGCCAAAGGCGAGCGCTAAACCGCTGCGCCACCCAGGGATCCCCTGTATTTATTTATTTTTAAGTAGGCTCCACGTGCGAGTGGGACTTGAACACAGGACCCCGTTCTAGAGCTTACATGCTATGAGGCTAAAAGGCAATAAATAAATGTATAAAATGTCAAGTGACGCCGTGCTGTGGAATACAGGAAAGCCAGGTAAGGGAGAAGCAGGGGCCCTGGGCGGATGACGGAAGATGAAGCACAGGACTCTCTGCCAGCTGTTGATAGTCTCCCTTTCCAGACGAGGAGGGTACAGAGAAAGGACCTGCCTGACATGTTTTGGCCTTGTGTCTGGTTCTCACCAATACACTGTATACGGAACATGGGAACGTGGGCCACCTGGGTGGCTCAGCGGTTGAGCGTCAGTCAGTCTGTGGCCCAGGTGGTGATCCCGGGTCTTGGGATCGAGTGGTGCATGGGGCTCCCGGGAGGGAGCCCGTTCCTCCCCCTGCCTATGTCTCTGCCTCTCTCTCTCTCCCTCGGTCTCTCATAAATAAATATATACATACATACATGAATGAATGAATGAATGAATGAAAGAAAGAAAGAAAGAACGAAAGAAAGAAAGAACGAAAGAAAGAAATCTTAAAAAAAACAAAGAAGCCTGTCTCGTTACTGCTAATAATCATGTCTGATAACTTGTCATCTCATCATCTCCCGGTTTAGAGATCTCAGATGGAAGGGTTGACGGAGGAGGCCAGGTTACTCGCTAGGTCCCACGGGTCCGCAGGGCTTAGCGCCCACGCTCGCCAGCTCCACGCTCCGGGGCACCCCCCCCCGCCCCGCCCCCCGCCCGCGTCCCGTCGGCGGAGGCAGCGGGAAGAGGACCCCAGAGGACCCGTGTGTCAGCATCGGCAATGCTCAGTCTCGTCGTGGGCCTGACTGGGAAGAAGCATTCCTCGGTTGCCGGCGCCCCCGGCTTCCTCGGCCTAGCCTGCCCCTCGCACTCACTCGCCAAGCTGTGTGGTCTCGGGCCAGTTGCCTAACCTCTCTGCCTCCACCGCTTCTTCCGTAGGTAAACTCTGCAAGTTGGACGCCAAGAGAGCACTGAGCGCAAGTCTGGCCCAGACGAGAAGCGTTGGCTACGGTATAGCGCACGCGGCTCACTCGTTTCGGTGTCACAGGCACGACGTCTCCACCGGTACCTCGTGGCACCTAGGACCCACATCCTGGACCACTCAGACCCCAAGGTCAGGTCACGCTCGAGCTACCTCGGCCTTCCCTCAATCCCACTAAGGAAGGAACGTAGGAAGGTGGCCACTTCTGCCCTGGGGAAACGGAGGCCCGGGGGCGGGGGGGGGGGGGGAGGAGGGAGGGGTTTAGGTAGATGCCCAAGGAGCCCTCCTGATGGGGTAGGGAGGCCACCCGTTCAGGGCCCGGTCTCGGGTCCCAAGTGGTGTCTGGAGCCCTTGGCAGGTGACGCCAGCCAGCCAGGCGCTTCTGGGCTCCTCCCCACGCCCTGGCCGCAGCCAGCCCGTAGGGTCCCGCAGTGACGACGTGAGGGGACTCCTGGGCCCTGGGACGACTCAGCGCCAGCCCCCGGCGCCAGCCCCACGCCCGGTTCCACGCCCCCCAGGCCGGCCAAAGCGTGAAGCCGAGGGCGCCTGGCCTGCAGCCAGGTTCCGCCGCCCGCCGCGCCTCTAGGGCTCCGCGCGCGGAGGGGCGGGCCATTCAAATTAGGAAGGGCCTTGCGGGGCCGGCGACGACGCGACGACGGACGCGTCGTTTGTCTTTCAAAAGGAAGAGACTTTACAAAGCCGCACGAGAGCCTAGCGGCTAGTGCCGCCCGTGCCACGGTGGGAGAAGCGGGGGGAGCGAGACGTGGCCGGAGCGGGCGCCGAGTCACCGTGAGTGTAAGGTGGAGGTCGTCGGGAGGGCGTGCGCGGGGGCGTGCGCGTCGGCATCGCTTCTCGGCCTTTTGGCTAAGATCAAGTGTAGTATCTGTTCTTATCAGTTTAATATCTGATACGTCCTCTATCCGAGGACAATATATTAAATGGATTTTTGGAGCAGGGAGATGGAATAGGAGCTTGCTCCGTCCACTCCGCGCATCGACCTGGTATTGCAGCACCTCCGGGAACGGTGCACCCCCTCGGGGGAGGCTTTCGGTGACAAAGAG